TTCTGTTTTGTTTTGCTACATATTTACTACATGTTAACTTTTAAAATGGGAAAAATTGATCGTCTTTTTTTAAGATTTATTTGAATGGTATTGTTACAGAGGAGGGAGCAACAGGGCCTGAGAAGTTCCATCTGCTGGTTTGCTCCCCAAATAGCTACAGCAGCGTAGGCTGGGCTGCACTGAAGCCAGTGTCCAGGAGCTATTTCTGGGTGTCCCCGGGATGCAGGGGCTAATGCAGTTGGGCCATCTTGTGCTGCTTTCCTTGCCACATCAGCCGGGAGCTGCACCAGAGCTGGCGTGGGGGGCTATGCCCGTACGGGATGCTCTGGTGACAGGTGGTAGCGTCACTGCCTGTGCTGGAGTACTGGCCCCATCGTTCTCTGGCAGTTGAAGTTAGGAAGCCATCTTATTGAGGCTGGGGCTTTGTGAAGTGTGCAATTCTGAGAGATGAAATTTATTCTAAGAGCATTAGAGATTATTTCACATCCCCAAATGGTAGAGTAGAAATTATAACATGTACTAGTTTTTAAATTGTGAAGCAATAATCTACCTTATTTCATAGTCCAGAATGTGTGAATTTTGTTTTTAAAGTATTGTCTTAGTGGATTACTATAATGTGGACATCTGGAGAAGGAGTTAGATGCCAGTGTCAGTTTAATCACTGCAAACTCAGGCACACTTCCTTGACAGCCTCTTTTTTTTTTTTTTTTTTTTTTTAATCAGATTTATTTGAAAGGCAGAGATAGGGACAGAGCTGGGCCAGACTGAGCTACTTCTTGGTCTTCCACGTCCTGGGCCATCTTGCGTCACCTTCCCGGGTACATTAGCAGGGAGTGGAGTGGAAAGTGAGATGTAGGGCATCTGGTGCCCAGATGGGGTGCTGGTATCACAGTCAGAGGTTTTATATGTGTCCCCACAGCACCAGTCCCTCTGGGCAGTCTATATCAGTAGTCTGCAGTCATAGGTTGCTAAAATATACATATGTAAGTCATGTCTTGTGTAGTTGTTTTTCTCAGTTGAAATCCAAACTGATGATGGACCAGGGCCAGCATTCTGGCATTGTGGGTAAGGTTGCAGCCTGCAAAGCTGGTACCATCATGTCCTGACTTCTGTTCAGCTTCCTGGTAATGGCCTGGGAAAAGTAACAGAAGATATGCTTGGGCTCCTGACTTCCATTTGGGAGATCCAGAGGAATCTTTTAGCTCCTGGTTTTGGCCTGACCCAGTGTGGCCACTAGGGGACGGAGCCAGTGGATGAAAATTCTGTCTCATTCTCATTCTCTCTGACTAATAAATACATTTTTATTAGTTTATTTTAAGATTTTTTTTTTTTATTGGAAAGCAGATACACAGAAGGAGAGAGAGGAAGAGCTTTTGTCCAATGATTCACTCCCCAAGCGGCCACAATGGCTACAGCTGAGCCAATCCGAATACAGGAGCCAGGAGCTTCTTTCAGGTCTCCTGTGTGGGTGCAGGGTCCCAAGGCTTTGGGCCGTCCTTGACTGCCACAAGCAGGGAGCTGGATGGGAAGCAGGGATGCCGGGATTAGAGCCAGTGCCCATATGGGATCCCAGTGCACTCAAGTGAGGACTTTGGCTGCCACGCTATCACGTCGGGCCCTAGTTGTTTTTTAATTGGAAAGACATTTACAGAGAGAAGGAGATACTGAGAAAGATCTTCTATCCACTGGTTCACTCCCCAAGTGGTCGCAGTGGCTGGAACTGAGCTGATTTAAAGCTAGGAGCCAGGGGCTTCTTCTGGGTCTCCCACACACATGCAGATTGCCAAAGCCTTGGGCCATCCTCCACTGCTTTTCCAGGCCACAAACAGGGAGCTGGATGGGAAGTGGAGCAACTGGGATATGAACTGGCACCCATATGGGTTCTTGCACGTGCAAAGCAGGGACTTTAGGTACTAGGCTATTGTGCTGGACCCTAAATAAATACATCTTAAGAAGGAGAAGATGGGGGCCTAGTGCTGTAGCCTAGTGCCTGAATCCTCATCTTGTATGCGCCAGGATCCCATATGGGCATTGGTTTGTGTCTTGACTGTGCCACTTCCCATCTAGCTCCCTGCTTGTGACCTGGGAAAACAGTTGAGGATGGCCCAAAGCCTTGGGACCCTGCACCCCTATGGGAGACCGAGAAGAAGCTCCTGGCTTCAGATCAGCTCAGCTGCTGCTGTTGTGGCCATTTGGGGACTGAACCAGTGGATGGAAGATCTTTCTCTTTTCTCTGTAAACCTACCTTTCCAAGAAAAATAGTTTTTATTTATTTATTTTTTTAAAGGAAGGAAGGAGCCAGGTCTTCTGTCATCATGAATATATTCATAACCAGTGATACTGTCAGGTGTTATGGCTTGTGTTGTATTTGTTACCGTCTTTGGTGCCTTTCATTTCACTTGATGTGTGGTCCCTCTCTTTTCTGAGAATGAAAAATGGCTTTTGCCTGTTCCCCTCCCCCACAAGCTGCTGTTCTGCAAAGCAAGTTTTAGCCAAAAAAAGTATTGTGGTTGTGGTTAAACACTGTTCCCCTCACACAGCCTTCCTTTAACTTCAGCTTGTCTGGCTCTTTGCAGACAGACCTCTCCCTCGTCTGGCTCCAGGTGGAGTCATTCCTTGTTTCTCGTTCCTCACTCATGCCTCATTTGTCTTCTTCGCCACTTAACCATGCTGGCTTCTTATGTTGTGGCTTGATGTTGATGCTGTACTTGGCTCATGGCTGGCTCCTCTGGGGCAACAGGTCAGACTGCCCTCCTGTCAGATCCCTGTCTTGTCCTTCCTTTGTTCTTTGGTGTGGTGTCTAATTTGTTGCCCTGGAGAAAAGGGCTTTGAAAGCCAACTAGACATTCTTAGATCCTCCTTCCTCTGTTTAGGGATGCAGGTTTGCCTGGCAGCAAGAAGGACGAAGTGAGGATAAATAGGTCTGGAATTAGATGACACAGTAAGATGATACATTACCCTCATGGCAGGAAGCTGGTGCAAGAGAAAGATAGCAGGCGATGACACTGGGATAACAGACTGCAGGAAGGAAGTGAGGCGCTGCGTGGCTGTGCCATAGGGCTAGGCTAGCGTAGAGAGGAGTCCTGGTCTTGGCCGATATGTGGTTCTACGTGAAACTGAGTAGTATGGAACCACAGGAATGTTTAGCAAGAATGCACAGCAAAATCTTTAAAAAAAAAAAAGATTTGTTTTTATTGAAAAGGCAGATATACAGAGAAAGAGACAACGAGTTCTTCCATCTGCTGGTTCATTCTCCAAGTGGCCGCAACAGCCAGAGCTGAGCCGATCAGGAGCCAGGAGCTTCTCGGTCTCCCATGTGGGTGCAGGGTCCCACAACTTTGGGCCATCTTCTACTGCTTTCACTGCTTTCCCAGGCCACAAGCGGGGAGCTGGATGGAAAGTGGCACAGTCGAGACACAAACCAAATGGAATCCTGGCACGTTCAAGCCGAGGACTTCAGCCGTTACACTATCACGCTGGGCCCTCTTCAAATGACCTTAAAAGACCTTTCAGACCTCAGCTATCTTATTGCCGAATCTGTCAGCTCTGTGCAGTTGACTCATGTACCTGTGTACATATACATAGCTTTAGCCTCAGCTGTGGTTCTTTGTTGTAGCTCCATTATTGGTGCTAGCTGTATATCTGACATTTTCTTTTTCACTTCCAGGAATCTGTTTTTTTTTTTTTTTAAAGATTAATTTTAATTGGAAAGTAAGATATACAGAGAGGAGGAGAGACAGAGCGGAAGATCTTCCATCCTCCAATTCACTCCCCAAGTGGCCACAACAGCTGGAACTTAGCAGATCCGAAGTCAGGAGCCTCTTCTGGGTCTCCCGCACAGGTGCAGGGTCCCAAGGCTTTGGGCCATCCTCGACTCAGGCCACAAGCAGGGAGCTGGATGGGAAGCGGGGTATGAACTGGCACCCATATGGGATCCTGGTGCACGCAAAGCGAGGGCTTTAGCCAGTAGGCTACTGTTCCAGTCACTCTCATGGTGTTGAAATCTTACCATTAGTATCTATATTGGGGCCTGGCTCAGTGACCTAGTGACTAAAATCCTTGCCTTAAACACGCCGGGATCCCATATGGGTGCTGGTTCTAATCCCTGCAGCTCCGCTTCCCATCCAGCTCCCTGTTTGTGGCCTGAAAAAGCAGTGGAGGATGGCCCAAGGCTTTGGCAATCTGCATGTGTGTGGGAGACCCAGAAGAAGCCCCTGGCTCCTAGCTTTAAATCAGCTCAGCTCCAGCCATTGCGGCCACTTGGGGAGTGAACCAGAGGATGGAAGATCTTTCTCAGTATCTCCTTCTCTCTGTAAATAATTCTTCCCCCATCCCCATCCTCCCAGAAAAGCCAAAGAACTAGAGCCCGACGTGATAGTGTAGGAGCCAAAGTCCTCACTTGAGTGCACTGGGATCCCATATGGTCGCCGGTTATAATCCTGGTAGCACTGCGTCTCATCCAGCTCCCTGCCTGTGGCCTGGGAAAGCAGTAGAGGACGGCCCAAAGCCTTGGGACCCTGCACCTGCGTGGGAGATCCAGAAGAAGCTCCTGGCTCCTGTATTCGGATTGGCTCAGCTGTAGCCATTGTGGTCACTTGGGGGGTGAATCATTGGATGGAAGATCCTCCTCTCTGTGTATCTGCTTTCCAATAAAAATAAATAAATCTTAAAAAAAAATCCACATCAGACATTTTTTTTCAGGAACCTTTTCAGTATTACCCACTTGGAGCTATAGTGTTTGTTCCTTTCTTTCGCATTCCTCAAGGCCCTTTGTGTTCATTTCTGTCCTGTTGTCTCATTGGCCGTGCATACTTACCTGCTTTCCTCCTCAATGAAAGGTTCCCTGAGAACAAAGATTAGGTGTCTTTTGTAGTGCTTGTGTAGTTTTTGCTTATCAAATTGATGTTATTTATGCATTTATTTGTTGATTGACTGTGTTTTTTAACTCACATTTTTATATTTAAGGAAACATTTCAGATGAGCTCTTTTTTTAACTTCAGGCTTGATCGTCTTTTTATCTTGCTGGATACTGGCACTACTCCTGTGACAAGGAAAGCCGCCGCACAGCAGCTTGGAGAAGTGGTGAAGCTTCATCCTCATGAACTGAATAATTTGTTATCTAAAGTAAGACTTCTTTATTTTCTTCCCTTTTCAGTATCTTAGCTGTGTCCATGGTAGGAATAAAACCTAAAGGTGTGTAACTTACCTTAGTCTATTTAAACAATAACTTGGAATTTCTGAATTCTGTTAAATATCTTACATATCTGCTAGAATTCTTTTTGTAAATTTTGTAAATGTGGTTTTGACCACAAGATGTAAAAAAAATTTTGAATTAAGTTTGTGTTAAGAAATTTGACCACAGGAAACTTTTTGCCTGGGACAGATTTGAATGTGACCCGATTTGGTAATGGACAGGGTTGTTATTCAGGTTTGTTATTGGTCTGACTTGTTCTCAATGGCTAAGAATTATTATAGCTGGTAATTTTCAAATGTACATGTCTTATGGGAAGTGATTGAAAAATATGAAAGCTAGTTGCCAAAATCTTTGCTTCGTAGCAGCTGTTTGAAGCGGGGGCTTTGTCCTTTATTGGATCAGTGTTTTTCAAATCCTAATCCATGTTCTTCCCCTAAAGAAATGGCTATATATTTGGGTGGGGAGTTTATTTGAATTTTATTTTAATATTTATTACAAAGGTGAGGAGGTTGCAGACCCATGTGGCCTCCAGTTAGGATGGAGAGGGCAGCAAGGGGAAGGTGGGTGAGAACTGTTTCACTTTCCCTCCAGTGGGAAGCAGTGTGGGTAGGAAAAGGGAGGAGAAGGTATACCTCTCCTTGCTGTCACACTGTGTCAGAGGGGGCAGAAAGGATGCTTTCATCTCCTTTTAAAATTTTATTTCTTTTTTGATATGTTTACACAGTTGATCAGGATGGGAAGGGTCGAGGAAGAGAGGAAAGTGTGTGAGAGCATGATTTCCAAATTTTATTTTTCTTCCTCCTATGTCTGTGGGAATTGGGGTGATACGGGGAGAAGCCGCAGCCAGCCTCCCGACTGCCTCAGTACTCGGGGATGGGGAGCGGCCTCCTGACATCATCCCAGGGTCCTTGATGTGGAACATGCTCTCAGGGTTTTGCTAAAGTGGTTTTGATAGTTCTAAAAATGCTGTTGATCTCACTAATCCAAGGATGAGGAAACCCTTCCAAGGTCCATTGGCTGACATAATCTACCCTAGAGTCTCCATTTGCCCAGATATTGACTGTCATTGTTTGGCAGGGGTAGTTGTCCAATTTGTTCTGCTCTCCGTCCTCTGCCATGATACCAGATGTCCTCTGCAGGTCTCAGTGCACTCCCATATCCTCCGTGTGCGTTTGGGTATGCTCTCCACGGCTCTGTCTTAGACACTGAGGAGACCCAGCTCTGACACATACAATCCATGGTCAGACTGCAGATCCTGTGGTTCTCCCTATGGTTGAAGTTCTGAGTCTAGTGGCTCAGTTGGGGGGAATCCCCAAAGAAACTTCATCTGAAGTAATCCCAGGCTTGTGTGTGCTAGCCAGTACAGGGTCTGGCTAAATCTGTCACCCAAATCAGTCTACTCACACACGAGTAGTTGTAATTGCTGGGTCAGTTCTGTCACTAGCCCCATCTCTTACGCAAACCAGTGGATTCTGCTGCCCACCCCAACCCAGCCCACTATACACTGGGCCCTCATGTATTCTTGCAGGAACTGTAGCTTAATTGGAGCAACTTCCAGCAGCCCCCACTAGGCCCACACCTAGCCCTGGTTCCTGTGCTTGCCAGTATGTGCAGCAGACTGGCTCAGTCTGTCCCACATGCTATTCAGTTCTTGTGCACATCAGTGGTTGTTGAAGGTCAACCCAGCTGACCCCACTATCCAGCCCTCACTTATGCTGCGAAGTGCTACTGCCTGTCTAGGGAGGCCTGTCCCGTGCCTGCTTCTCATGCTCACCAGTGGGAGTTGCAGCTCACCAAGGAGGTGTCCATGTTTCCTTACTGGGCCCACTCCAATCCTGGATCTTGTATTTTCCAGATACTTTGCAATCTAGCTTGGTAGGATTTGCCCTTGACCCAGCACTTGCCAGCCATGCTGTGACAAAACCCAACTAGTCTGTGGTTACTTTGGCCCATGCATGCACCAAATAACCCAGCCTAGCTCTCTTCCTCACCCAATTCACATGCAGGCCAACAGATGTTTTTAGCCCTGCCTGGCTTGGTCTGTTCCCAGTCCCAGTTTTCATGCTCATCAGTGGGAGCAGTGTCCCAGCAGGGGAGCAAGCACTACCCCTACTTCTGGGCTTGTCCCCACTTCTGGGCTTGCACCCATTTGCCCCCCGATCTCATATACTGCCTAGTGCATCATGGCCCACCTCACCTCAGCATTTGCAGATGGGTGCTGTAGACTGGCTAGGCCAATCTGCCCCTAGTTCTAGCTCATGCTGGTGGGTGTTACAGCTCAGCCAGCCCCTAGTCCCTGTCCTAATGTGAGCTGGTTGTTGTTGTAACCTGACCCAAGCTGTCCTGGTTCTCAGATCTGCCAGTGGTTGTTATGAATTGGCCTAGCATGGCCCATCCCCAGACCTGACCCACACATATGCCAGCAGATACTATAACCTGTCCTGGCCTGGGCTGCTCACCTGCAGGGACTGTGTTCTGACAGAGGGGTTCCCCAAGCTCCTCTGTCAGGCCACCTCCTGGTAGCAGATCTCATGCACACCTGTGGGTCCTTGGTCCAGATTGAACTTAGTCCACCTCCTGTCATGGCAGGAACAGTGCCCTTGCCCAACCGTTCCACACCCATTCTGGTTTTTACTCTTGGGTGCTACAATCCAGCCACACCTGGTCCACGCCCAGCTCTCACATGGTTCAGTGGATGGCGAGACTTATCCTAGCCCTTCCTACGCCCACCTTGGCTCTCGAGTATGAGTGGGTGCCGGAGTCTGGCCATGTCTGGCATACCCCACCCCCATGCTGAGGGCCATTACAGCTATGTGCAAGCAAGATTACTGCCCCAATTTCAGCTCTCATTCTCACAAGTGAAATGCCTGGGTTCCCCAGCCCAGCCTTCTGAAGCCTCATCTTCCAGAGGGGTGGTGTGCTGGCCTGGAGCTCTGCCCAACCAGTAGTAGTGTCCCAGTCTCCTGGAACATGTGCTAACCTGGAACCTTATCCTTCCCTCCCACTCAAGATCTAAGCCCATTCAAAGTTCCCCAAGCCTAATCCACACCACACCAGCATATTATCCTAGGACTCTCCCTTTTTTCCTCCCACGCCTCCCAGGCCCACTCTGGCTGCCTTGGTGTGAGCCCTCAGGTCTCTTGCACACCCCCACTGGCGCTATCCCTCAAGTCCCCTTGGAAGCCCGCACCTGCAGGTCCCCAGGTGCTTGTGCGCCTTCAGGCCTTGGTGGGTGCAATCCTTTTGTTCCTTTAATATCACCTTTGAGGCCTTTGTGGGGATGAATGTTCCAAGGGTGTTACTTGAGTGTTGTAAGTTGTCAGATGCATTCTACTAGAGGTAAGAAATTCCAGGGTCTGTTTGCTATCCATGTCTGTCCAAGTGTGCCCACAGACGGAGGTAGTTATTGTAGAGCCTGCCCTGGAGTGTTGTTCAGCATGTCTTTCAATCTTTGGTGAAGTCCTAAAGCCTTCTGTTGGCTTAGATGAGCATCTGCCATGTTCCTCTGGGTATACTCTCCATTCTTGCATAATGGTCAACCACTGAGACGGTTTAGTCCTGCAACATGTGCTGGTGTTGGGTCACATGTCTGTGTGATTTTCTTTGATCAGGGATCAAGTGCAGTGGTCTAGTTGAGGAGCCCCCTACAAAACCTCACCTGAGGTGATCCTTAGATCTTGTTTTCTTTTTTTTTTTAATTTTTTTAAAGATTGATTTATTTTCATTACAAAGTCAGATATATGGAGAGGAGGAGAGGCAGAGGGGAAGGTCTTCTGTTTGAAGATTCACTCCCCAAGTAAGCACAATGGCTGGTGCTGTGCCTATCCAAAGCCAGGAGCCTAGAACTTCTTTCCAGGTCTCCCACATGGGTGCAGGGTCCCAAGGCTTTGGGCTGTTCTCAACTGCTTTCCCAGGCCACAAGCAGGGAGCTGGATGGGAAGTGGAGCTGCCGGGATTAGAACCGGCACCCATATGGGATCCTGGCGCGTTCAAGGCGAGGACCTTAGCCACTAGGCTACCACGCCGCTGGGCCCTAGATCTTGTTTTCATGTGTGCTAGCTGGTACAGGGTTGAGCTTAGTCTTCCCGCGGCACCATCAAGCACACACACCAGTGGGTGCAGCTGCCTGGTCAGTCTCGCCTCGAGCCTTGGCTGTCACACAGACCAGTGTGTGTGCTGTGGCTTAGTCAGTGTGACCCTGAAGAACCCTTACCTGGCTTTCAGGTATGCTAGCATGTGCTGTGGCCCAGCGTAGCCTGGCCCACTCCCAGCCTCAGCTTTCATGTGTACCTGTGGATGCTGTGGCCTAGTTGGGGTGACCTCAGATAACCCCCACCAGTCCTGCCCCCAAACATGGCTCTTGGGAGTGCTTGTAATTGCTGTAACCTAGTCTGGCCTGTTCTGCTCCCAGTCCCAGGTCTTATATGGGTGGGTGCTTTGGCCTGATTCCCCTACTAACCCCGCCCCCCCCTTTTTTTTAGATTTATTCGTTTTTTTATTAGAAAGGCAGATTTATAGAGGGAAAGATCTTCTGTCCACTGCTGCATTCCCCAAGTGGCTACAATGGAACTGAGCCCATCTGAAGCCAGGAGCCTGGAGCTTCTGCTTGTCCCATACTGGTGCAAATTCCCAAGGCTTTGAGTTATCCTCTAATGCTTTCCTAGGCCACAAGCAGGGAGCTGGATAGGAAGTTGAGCAGCTGGGATATAAACTGGCACCGATATGGGGTCCTGGCAGATACAAGGCAAGGATTTACCCACTAGGCTACCGTGCTGGGCCCCAGGTGGTTTTGATAGTTCTGAAATGCTTTTGATTTTGTTGATCCAAGGATGAGGAAATCCTTCCAAAAGTCATTGGCTGACATAGTCCACCTTAGAGTGTGTATTTGCCCAGATACTTATCAATGCTTGGCTGGGGTAGTTGTTCAGTTTGTGTCCTTTTTTCCTCTGCTATGGTACTAGATGTCTTCTGTGGGCCTCAGTGGACTGCCGTACCCTCCGTATGCATCTGAGCGTGCTGTCTACTACATTGTCTTTAGCAGCTGAGGAGGCCCAGTTCTGACATGTGTTCCATAGTCAGACCACAGATGCTGCAGTTCTCGGCATGGTTGGAGTTTAGTCCAGTGGCCCCATTGGGAGTTTCCCACAATAAACCTCATCTGATATCTGCCAGCCAGTATGGGGTTTGTGTCAGTCTGTCACCCAAATCAGCCCAAGAGTTTTTGTAGTTTTAGAACTATGTCCAGTTTTAGTTAATTTTTATACGTGATATATGTGGTCAATGTTCACATTTTTTTCAAATTTATTTTCATTTAATTAGGAGGACACAGAAAGGGAGGGATAGAGAGAGATTGTCCTCTGGCTCATTCATCGAATGGCCGAAACAGCCAGAGCTGGACCAAATAGAAGCCAGGAACCTGAAATTCTATCCACATCTTTCAATTGGTTGAGGGCCATAAACACTGAATGCCTGCTGGATCTGACACGATGACTCAGTGGCTAAATTTTTGCCTTGCCAGTGCCCCAATCCCATATAGATGCTGACTTGAGTCCCATCTGCCCCTCTCCTGATCCAGCTCCCTGCTTATGTCCAGGGAAAGCAGTTGAGGATGGCCCAAAGCCTTGGGATCCTGCACCCAGGAAGAAGCTCTGGGCACCTGGCTTCAGATTGGCCTAACTCTGCTATTGTGGCCACTTGGGGAGTGAATCAGCAGATGGAAGATCTTCCTCTCTGTCTCTCCTCCTCTCTGTATATCTGCCTTTCCAATAAAAATAAATAAATCTTAGAAATGAAGAAACCCAAAAGCAGAAAGCCGGTTCAGAAGCAGAGAAGTTCGAATTTGAACTGTCACTCTGCTATGAAGGATGCTGAACTGGTGGCTTAACTTGTTACACTGCAACATCTATCTCCTTAGCATCATTCTCGGGTTGTGGCTATCTGCTTGTCTCAGCACCATTTGTTCAAGACTATTATGTCCCCACTGAATTTTCTTGGTACCCTTGCTAAAGATTATTTGAAGACAAACAAGTTTATTACTTCCGGACAATAAATTCAATTCTGTTGATCCATTTTTCCATCATTTTGCCAGACTCTCTTGATTAGCATTACTTTTGCAATAAATTTCAAAACTAAGCTTGAGTGTATTGACTCTTTTCCAAGATTTACTTTTTCCCTTCCTTCTTTCTTCCTTCTTTCCTTCTTTTCCTCACTCCCTCCTTCCTTTTTTCCTTTCCTTTTCCTTTTTCTCTTCATCCCTCCCTCCCCCTTTTTTAAAATTTCATTTTATTTTTTATGATTCTATGTTCTTTGCATTGCTGCATAAAATTTAGAATGGATTTGTCCTTTTGTCCATTTCTTCCCAAAAACTATGTGGAGTCTTAATAAAAATTGTGCTGCATTTATAGATGGATTTAGGAGATTTTTGCTCTGTATGTGTGTTTTAAGGTCTGTTTCTCAACCTTACTAAAATTTTTGAAAATTTATCTTATTTATTGGGAAAAAAGATTACAGAGACACAAGAGACTGACAGAGAGCTTAGATCTGCGCAAGGGCCACTATAGGCCTTGGAACTCGGTCTGAGTCTTCCACATGGGTGTTGGGACCCAAGCATTGGGGCCAGTTCATAATTCGCCAGGAGCATTAGCAGGGTGCTGGATCAGTAGCAGAGCAGTCGGGACAACAGCCAGTGCCCATGTAGGATGCTGGCATTGTAAGTGATGGTGTGGCTTGACAGTACTGTCCCAGTGTGACTATACTGTCCCAAAGTTGCTGTCTTTCTGACAGGGTTACATCCGTCCTTTGATTCATAATTGTCTATTTACATCTTTAATTTCTTAAACAATTTTTTATTTTATTATTCAGTTCCATAGGCTCTGGAATTTCCCTTACCCCCTCCAAAACCTCTCTTTTCCACTTACTTCCTCTATATTGTTACAATTGTATGTTCCTCATGAACAGTCACAAGTTCATCATTTTGCTATTTACATCTTTAGTTTCAACAGTATTTTTAGTATTTGTAGTTTCTGGTATACAAGTCTTATACATGTCTGTAAATCTCAAGTAGACAAAGTTGCTGAAGTATTTTTCTGTTTTTTGATGTTGTTATCAATGAGATTGTTTCCAGATGGCCTACTATATGGGAGTGCAACTGATTTTTGTACATTGATTATATCTTAAAACTTTGCTGAACTTATTTATTAGTTTGTATATGAATTTCAGCTCTGATTTAAGTAAAGGAACTTAATATGTATTTTGCTTTCTAGTATATTAAGTAGCTGTGCTATTACTAAAATATACCTAAGTATTGTTTTATTGAAAGCTTCTACATTTTAAGGTGATAGTGATACTTTCTGTGAATGTAGTTTAGTAATCTTAAGATTTTTTAAAATGTATTTGCAGAATTGCTTAATTATAGCTTAGTTGCAAGAATGCTTGTGTTTATTTGTTCTATCTTCAGCAGACAATAATTTTTCTTACATAATTTCTGTCCTTTTTAAAGGTTCTAATATATTTAAGGAGTGCAAATTGGGATACCCGGATTGCAGCAGGACAAGCTGTGGAAGCTATAGTGAAAAATGTACCCGAGTGGAATCCAGTGCCGAGAGCCAAACAAGGTGCCTTTCATTGGAAAACGTAATTTGAAGTGAAGCCCTAACTATAATATGTATTTTATACTTTAATACTTTTAACTTAAAGCTGTAATTTTCATGCTAGCAGGTACAGAGAGTATGTTGAAAATGGTGGTTTTTCCACCCCCCAACCCCACCTTATAAGATGCATAATCTGGATGAAGTATTTTCATAGTTTTTAAAACTGTTCTGTGGTTTGCTTGAGTAACAGAGATGATGGCATTTGCTCAAGGAATTTATATCCTAAGGGAAGAATTAGGTGATTACAGTGTAAATAGTTGAAGCAATTTATTTTTCTCTTATTGTTGGGAAAATACTATGGTGTAAATAATTTCTTTAAAAAAAATTTTTTTTCATTGTAGTTAATTTCTAAATCTAGGCACAGTTATTTATGGATTGTATGGATAGGCTACAGTCTTGAGTCTAACTTTTTGGTGTGCTCTTTACATGTAGTGGTGAAAATTTGTATTTGTTTTCTGATTATAACGGTATGTATAAACGAATTGGACACTTTTTAGACAGTTGTAAACTTGTATGTTTTAACTAAATGAAAATTTAATATTGGAATGAACTATAAATGGGAAATAAATTATGTTGATTTTGAATCAGTTTAGTAACTATCATTTTCAGCATTTTTTAAAAAGATACATTTGTTTTTATTGGAAAGTCAGATTTACAAATAGAAGGAGAGACAGAGAAAGATTTTCCATCTGCTGGTTCATGCCCCGGCGGCCACAACACCGGAACTGAGCTGATGCAAAGCCAGGAGCTTGTTTTGGGTCTCCCACACAGGTGCAGGGTCCCAAAGCTTTGGGCCATCCTCTACTGCTTTCCTAGGACACAAGCAGGAAGCTGGATGGGAAGTTGAGCAGCTGGGACATGAACTGGTGCTCCTATGGAATCCATTTCATAAAGGCGAGGACTTTAGCTACTAGGCTGCCATACTGATCCCTACATATTTTAGCATTTATAGCTGGGTAATGTGTTTTGGGAATGAATGCTGAACATTTTATAGATGTTTTTAGGACTCAAGTGGATATGCAGTACTAGCATTTATCAGAGTGTAATTTGCTCGAGAATACAATTTATGCTGTTAAAGGAGCAGGTACTTTGCTTCCTAAATATTCCTCAGATATTGGGAAGGGTGATGTATATTTTTACTATTTTTAGAATATAAATTTAAGAAATATTTATTCATTATATATTGGAAAGTTAGAATTACAGAGATAATCTGCTGTTTCACTCCTCAAGTGGACACAATGGCCAGAGCTGAGCTGATTTAAAGCCAGGAGCTTCTTCTGGGTTTCCCATGCAGGTGCAGGGTCCCAAGGCTTTGGGCTGTCCTCTCTTGCATTCCCAGGCCACAAGCACAAAGCTAGATGGGAGGGAAATGGAGCAGCCAAGATACAAACCAGCACCCGTATGTCATCCTGGCACGTGCAAGGCGAGGACTTTAGCTGCTAGGCTACTGCACTGTGCCTGATGTATATTATTCTTAACTTTATTAATTTTAATGCTTATTAGGCTTAAATATATTTAGATATCAGCATAAATATTATGCAGTTTTTTTGTGCAAATGTTAAATATTAGGCTTATATTGGCCTTGTTCATGAATACATTTTATGAATATTTTGTGTTACATTTTTTGTTATATGCATAGTTTATTTTTAAAAAGTGTTAACTAAACATACAGGAATATTTATTAATATACTTTAAAAGTTTATTCCCTGTATTGAAGGAAAATACATTTGCAACATCTTATAGACACCAACTTTACAAAAATAGAACTTCTAGAAGCTGAAATGTACTACAGTAGATTCTGTAGTTTACAGTTTAATTACTGAATTGGAATTTATTCTTCCTGTCTCTCCCACCTCCCCTAATGTGGCAGTTATTACTCTTAAGCTAATGACATTCAAGCATATTGTAGTACTACAGATCCTTAAATACAGTACACACTGCATATTTATTTACTAACAGAGCAAGTATCCTGTATTTGTTGTAGCATAATTATTTCAGATAAGTATTTGACTTTAAGTACAAATAGAATTACAACATCCCATGATTGTAAACATTCACCAAAGAGCTTCCAGAGTGAGAGGAGTAACAGAGGCGGCCCAGGAGTCAGTCCAGTGTTGCTCAGTCATTTGGATACTGCTGAGACTGCTAATGGGAACAGCGAGTTGAAGGCAAATCATCATAAGCCTTTCTTGTACATCTGTAAGAAAGCAGTACTGTGTATGTATCTTGAGTCAAAAACTGAAAGTCATTCTAACGTTCACGTTAAGCACAGTTTCGCTTACCTGAAAAATATTGAGTTATACTCAGCAGTATATATGATTCTTAACACTAGAAATTAAAAAACACTGGTGGGTCTCCAGTTCCTTTTGTAGCTACAGAAGGAGTACTGAGTTCCCACTGATGCTAACAGGAGTCGCTCACGCATACCAAGGGTGGGACCTCCCCGAGGGCCACGTGCAACCGCAAAGCTTGAGGCACGGCTATTGCTTCTGTCAGCAGATGCTATACAAGCAGATTTAAGGCTGAATTCGGCTTAGAGTTCATTCTTCTCATTAAGGGTCTTTCTATGTAGATCATGTATACAATCCAGAATGCCCTAAACGGAGGTGTGCAGTCCCCAGATGCTTCTGAAGTGTTACTCTCCTTACAGTTGAGTCATTGTCAGTGTATTTACTTAAAGCCATTTTTAAAAATGCATTTGGGATTTGAAAACTCTTGTCATAATTTCTCCAGGATTGGCATCCTTTTCATTTTCTAACTTTTGGCCAATTTCACATTTGTCAAATTCTTCACTGCAGTTCTTGGGCAGTTGTGATGCTGAATTGAAATAGAAAAAAAAAATCAAAAACATAATCACTGCCACCCACTTTGGGACAGGCCTGTTTATAAAGAAAACGGCATTCCTGGAGTGGATGGGTAACTTGGGAAGCCCTCCGGCTGAGCGGGATAGCTCTCCAGGGCCGCCGCATAGTGCACCTGCTGTAGCAATGCTGACTGTGCTGCAGCATTTTGCTGTGGCTCTTGCAAGGATGACTGTGAAGGATTCTGGGAAAACCCAGGGATTCCTGGGAGGGACAGAAGGTCTGGGAAAAGAGAACTGCCTGCAGCTTGAAGTCCAGACAATAAACCAGCTTGTGCAACGAGCACAGAGTTGAAATTGGAACTGAACCCTGAAGCAAATCCTGGGAGGACAGGGGCTGGGGATGGCACTGTGGCGGCAACAGGCAGTGGGGTGACAGCTGCAACCGTGGAGGGTGCCTGCAGCCCAGGGAACGAAGGGAGGGCCAGGGTGACACTCAGGGCACTACAGACAGAAAAGCCAGGGTACAGGGGTTTGAAGATGACAGAGGCCCTTGGGTGACCGAGAAGAGCAAGGGACAGCAGTGGACAGGTTGAGGGGGAAAGGTGCTGCCGATGTTGGTACTGCAGCAGAAAGCCCCGAGAGAACAGCTGCTGTGGAGTGGGATAAGGGACGGAGACAGAGGCGGAGGGGGTAGAGGCTGACGAGCGGCCTATTAGTGACCCAGGAAGAGACGCTTATGGGTTAAAAAATGGGTTACCAGTTAAAGGAAAATTATTGGTTAAAGAAGTGAAGGGTGGAAGAGCAGTAAACACTGGAGCAATAGGAGCAGAGGAACCATGTGGTGGAAGGGAAATGGAGGAGAGGGAATTGGAACTGTTTAAAGGAGTACTCAAAGTGGAGAGCCCTGATAATGTGGGGTTAAAGTAAGAAGACAGACTGATGGGCACTGATGTTGAGGGATACTTGCGGCCCAAGATCCCTGACAAACCTAAAGTGCCATGAGCGGGATTCATGGGATGAGACGGGCCTTTGAAGGCCGAGGGGGTAGGATTCACGGCCTCACTTTTGATCATAACTGGGATTGTGGTGACAGCAGGTGTGGATGGAAGGTGCAGTTCTGAGGGACCTGCGTGGGGTCCATGTAAAAGGGCGACAGAGGAACCACAGCTCACTGGCACAGATGCTGAAGACGCAGGAGTAGTCAGTGGAGACTGGACAGGCAAAGTAGGGGCAGCGGAAGTGGAGTTAGCCACAGGAGACAGCAGGCTTGGGAACATGGCCAACCCTGGAGTGGAAGACCTCTGGGGAGCAGGCATGGCGGAGGGGGCATAGCACTTGTTAGGGGCTGAGGCAGCAGTATCAGAATTGGCATTAGTAAGAGAAGACAGTGAAGTCAGCCCACTTGTAACAGCAGATAAAGCAGAGGGGTTCACTAAACTGAAGTCATTTGATGTCGAAAAGCCTTTTAAAGCAGACAGAAGAGGACTGTTTACACCAAGCGGACCAGCAACACCAGGAGTGGAACTGCCAGCAGTGATGGGAGTTGGGTTGGATACTCCCTTGGATGTTGGTGTTAAAGGCCAAGGGAGACCCGCAAACACTGATGACAGTGAAGAGTTGGGATTGCTGGTAGAAGCGGCAGTGGAGTTGGCTGAAAAAGAGAGGATAGTGAAGGGAGCAGACGTAGAAGTAAGAGTTTCACCGGAAGTCAGAGCAGCCCAAGGTGCAGATGTGGCTTGTGGGGCTGGGCTGGGCTGGGGGTGTATTACATTTGATTATATAATGTTTCCAGTCAATCTACTAGTAAACTCATGCTTTTGCTTTTATATTTTCTACTGTTTAACAGTATAGTGACAGCATGACATTTAACACTATATTTATTTCAATTTGTGAATTCATTTTCATGTCACATGCTTTCATTGTTAGAAACAGTTACATATATGGTACCCAGTATTCTGATGGATTGTCAGAGATCACCAACCTAATTTATCCACACAGGGCAAAGGATTAATCTATTATTAATCAACAATTATTTTTGTAGTTACTCTACTTTATGTGTTTCTTAACATACTAGCCACATACCTTGAATATTTTCATTACACACTTTGGCTTACATGGTTAAATTAATAATTTTTTACTTAATCTAGAACCTTCTTCAGAAAGCTGCATGGAAGATTCATCTACTACAGATCGATTGAATTTTGACAGATTTGATATATGCAGATTATTACAACATGGTGCCTCTCTTTTGGGATCTGCTGGTGCAGAATTTGAAGTCCAGGATGAAAAATCAGGTATGTAGTAAGTAGTCCTATGCAAGGTAATTTCAGTTTTGTGTTTTCTCTAACTAACTAGTCAGATATATTAGTGATGTCATGAAATGAGAACTGACTAAAGTTTACTAGTTAGGAGGGTGTTGTGAATGGGATAGATGAAGCAGCAATTTAGTTCGGCTAAGTGTTTCAGTATATGCTGAATATATGCATAATTCATAAATAATAGTATTTCAGTAGCAGCTTTATTGTATAATGCAGAAATTGTAAACTACTCAAAGGTCTTAGTATTTTTTTTTTAATATTTATTTAATACTTTTATTGCAAAGTCAGATATATAGAGAGGAGGAGAGACAGAGAGGAAGATCTTCCATCCGATGATTCACTCCCCAAGTGACCGCATCGGCTGATGCTATGCCAATCTGGAGCCAGGATCCAGGAACCTCTTTCGGGTCTCCCACATGGGTGTAGGGTCCCAAGGCTTTGGGCCATCCTTGACTGCTTTCCAGGCTACAAGCAGGGAGCTGGATGGGAAGTGGGGCCGCCAAGATTAGAACCAGTGCCCATATCGGATCCCGGAGCATGCAAGGCAAGGACTTTGGCTGCTATGCTACCACGCTAGGCCCTATATAGCACATTTGGTTTATCTGTTTGTTAGTAGACCCTGGGGTGGATTTTGTATTGTTGCAGAATATGTAATAATGTACAGCTATTTGGATTACTACTTTTCAGCTTTTTTGGATATATCGGAAGCAAATTGTTGAATCAAATGATAATTCTATTTTTAAGTTTTTCAGAAACTACCATGGTTTTTCATAGCAATGGTACTATTTAACAGTCTCATCAGTAATATACAATATATTCAGTTTTCATATGCTTTTCAATACTTGCTCTTTGATTATAGCCTTATCTGTGTGTGATGTGAAACTTGATTGTGATTTTGATTTGCATATTTGTGATAAATGATGGCATCAGCTAGATTTTTTTCATGTTTTTAATTAACCATTGTTAATTTTTTGGAGAAATGCCTATTTAGACCCCTCACCGAATGTTTCTGGTTGGGTTATCTTTTTTATGAGTTGCAGGAATTTTTTATTTAGGACTTATTTATGTTTTCTGTATCCTATGGGTTATAAGTTCATTTTCCAAATGGTTTCTTTACTTTTTTTTTCCTTTATGATTGTTTGCAAAGGATATTGACAGGGTGGGAGGGAGAGGAGAGAGATGGAGACTTTCCATGCAGTGGTTTATTGTCCCCAAATGGCTGTAAGCACTGGAGTTGACCAGATCAGGGCCAAGAACTCTAATTGGATTCTTCATATGGGTGGGACCCAAATACTTGGACAATCACTGACTGTGTTTGTGGGCGAATTAGCAGGAAGCTAGATTGGAACTGGAGGATCTCTGGCTCAAATTGGTACTTGTATGTGGGATGTTTGTCCCAACAGTGATTTAACCCCCTGAGCCACAACAGATGCGTAAGACTGGATTCTGTTACGTTCTTCCAATGTTTGTTATTTGTCTTAGCAGGTGTTTAATGTGACACAACTTAAAATGGAAGCCTGTTCCACTTTGTGGTGTGCAGTGGCTTGAATCTCAACTTTAACTTTGGGATTTTTGCTTTAACTACAGCATTTCCAATTGGTGCTGTGTGTACATACAGTTCAGGGCTCATCTGGAAATTTGTGTTGAATTTACTCAGAATTTTGCCTTCGTTCCTTGACTATTTTTACTTTCATTTTTTGTTTGATTTTAATACTGTTTACATAGCTGAAAGTTATGCAAGCCTATTTGTGCCTCTGTCCAGGGTGGGGAGCATCGAGGTATAGAAGAAAGTGGGAGGGATAAATGTCTTGGTTCTTTTTTTCCTCCTGTGTCTGTGGCAGGGATTGGGCCAGTTCACTGCTGCTGTCAAACTATATAAGCATGTGGGGATGGGGAACGGTCATGTGATGACACTCCCAGAGACCCTGATGTCGGGAAAGTGTTCCGAGGGTGCTATTTGAGTGGTTTTGATAGTTCTGAGACATTGTTGAATCGTTACACCAGGGTGGAGAAAATCTTTGTAAGGTCTGTTGGCTGACCAAGTCTACCTCAGTGCATCCCCATACCCTGGAGAGTGGTCCAATCTGTTCTGCTTTCCATGTTGTGATGAGGCAGTTGATGTCCCCTGCTGGCCCTGATGTGCCCTGTGTGCATCTGCCAATGTTGTCCACCTCATAGACGTCAGCCACTGAGGGCGCCCAGTCCTGCTAGATGTACTCCAAGGTCGGACCACGTATCTTATGGATTTACTTGTGGCCAGGGTTTGAATCCAGCAGTTTAGCTGGAGAGTCTCCCAAAACACCATACCTGGGGTGACCTCAGACTTGACTCTTGTGTGCACCATCTAGTGCATGGTTCGATTTGATTTGTCATCTGTACCAGCCAGTGGACTTACAGGTGGATGCAGCTGCTTGATCAGTTCTGCTGGCCCGGCCCTATTGCTCACATGAACCCACAGGTGCTATAGCCTTGTTGGGGCAACCCCAAATAACACCCCCCTCATTTCCGGCTCCAGCCCTGTTTTTTTTTGCCTGTGCTAGCATGTGCTGTGGCCTAACCAGCTGATCTTACATCCCATCTGGCTCTTGTGCATACCTGTGGGTGCTGTGGCTAACCTCAGCCTTGCCTACCCCAGACTTGGCCTACACATATGCCAGTGGGTGGTGCCACCTTGTCCAGTCTCACCTGCTCTCAGCCTTGACTCTGTGCTCACCCATAGAAGTTGCAGCCTAGGCCCAGCATGATAGCCTAGTGGCTAAAGTCCTCACCTTGCACATGCTGGGATCACACAGGAGCACTGGTTCGTGTCCTGGCTGCTCCACTTGCTTCCAGCTCCCTCCCTGTGGCTTGGAAAAGCAATCGAGGATATCCCAAAGCCTTGGGACCCTGCACCCATGTGGGAGACCTAGAAGAAGCACCTGGCTCCTGGCTTTGGGTCAGCTTAGCACCAGCTGTTTTGACCACTTGGGGAGTGAGCCAGTGGACGGAAGATCTCTCTGTCTCTTCTCTTTGTGTGTCTGACTTTCCAATAAAGAAAAATAAATCTTTAAAAAAAAAAAAAGGCTGCAGCAGCCTAGCAGATGGGTGTCCAAAGTTCCCCTTATCAGGCCCGCTCCCAGGTTGCCAGGGGATGCTGGGTCCAGTCTGACAGGGCTCCCACTCAGTCCTTGCCTTTGCAATGGGTGCTGCAGTCTGGCGCAGCCTGGCCTGCCCCCAGCTCTGGCCAAGCTACATGAGCTGGCTAGTGTTGCAGCCCAACCCGTTCTGGGCTTTGGTGCTTTCGTTTGTGGATTTTCCTTTTCTACTTTGTAGCGGCTATAATAGCTCCTAACTTCAGTTCTTCCAGCCGGAAAAATTGAATTTTATTCTCAAGTTTTAACTGCCTCATGTATCATGAATGGAGTCTGCTGCTTTCAGAAAGGCTAAAAGCTACAAAAAGGTGAAACTCATCTAGTACCATTTTTTTTCTACCTACATTGGCAGCTGCTCCAAATAAATTAGATGCTTATTTTGTTTTCTCTCACTGTCTCTAAAATATTTTGCCCAATTTTTAAAAAGATTTTTTAAAAAAGATTTATTTATTGTTGTTGGAAAGTCAGATTTATAGAGAGAGGGAGAGACAGATAGATCTTTCATCTGCTGATTCACTCCCCAAATCGCTGCAATGGCTGGAGCTGAGCCGATCCAGAGCCAGGAACCAGGAGCTTCCTCTGGGTCTCCCATGTGGGTGCAGGGGCTTAAGGCCTTGGGTTGTTCTCTGCTGCTTTCTGAGGCCACAAGCAGGGAGCTAGATGGGGAGTGGGGCATCTGAAGCACAAATTGGCACTCATATGGGATCCTGGGGTGTGCAAGATGAGGACTTTAACAACTAGGCTACTGTGCCAGGCCCTGGCCAATCTTTTTCAACTATGGAGTGTGAACCCAGCTCGACCTTACCCCACTATAACTAGAAGAATGCAAATTTTTATTATTTTTAAGTTTTTTTTTTTTTTTAATGTTGTAAAAGTTTTCTGGGCCCTGATCAATGGCCTATTTGGCTAATCCTTGCTTTTCAAGCGCTGGATCCCATATGGGTGCTTGTTCGTATCCTACTTCCCATTCAGCTTCCTGCTTAAAGCCAAAAAAATAGTGGTGGACGGCCCAAAGCTTTGGGACCTTGCACCTGTGTAGGAGACCCAGAAGAAGGTCCTATTTTCTGGTTTCAAACTGGTTCAATTCAAATCATTGCAACAATTTGAGCAGTGAGAGATGGAAGATCTTACAGTCTCTCCTTCTCTCTGTAAATCCGCCTTTCCAAAAAATAAAATCAATCTTTTTTTTTAAAGTCTCCAAATAATTTAGAAACCGTTATTTTTAAAAATCTATTTGAAAGTAAAAATTTTCATTTTAAGTTGATCTTTTGATTTTTGCAGTGTGACTGTTTTCTACTGATGGGTTTTCTAAGGGTTTTACACATTCATAATCTGTAGTCTTTTATTTCTGTATCTTTGTTATTTGGCCTGTTAGAGCCATTTTGTCTCAAGACAACAGAAAGGGTCACACTTGGATTGAGTATTTGTATTTTTGAGATTTATTTTTCTGTCTGGATCTGTTGAATTGGGGACAGATGTTTATAGAGCAGTGGAGAAAGCTCTTAAGATGGCACATTCCATGGTGGAGTTCCTGCACTGACTCCTGTGCTTTCAGGCCAGCTTCTTGCTAATGCTTACTTGTTCTCTGTCACCTGCTTTGGAGCTGCTCCTCACGCTAGCCTGGCCCAGCTCTGGTTGTTCACAGGAGTTCGTGGAATGAACCAGTGATTGGAAGATCTCACTGTTTCTGCCTTTGAAATAGAAAAAAGAAAACTAACATTTTTAAAAAAAGATTTATTTTATTTTTTTTATTGCAAAGTCAGATATACAGAGAGGAGGAGAGACAGAGAGAGCGCAACGGCTGGAGCTGAGCTGATCCTAAGCCAGGAGCCAGGAAATTCTACCAGGTCTCCCACACAGGTGTAGGGTCCCAAGGCTTTGGGCCATCCTCGACTGCTTTCCCAGGCCACAGGCAGGGAGCTGGATGGGAAGCGGGGCTGCGGGGATTAGAACTGGCGCCCATATGGGATCCCAGTGCATTTAAGGCAAGGACTTTTACTGCTACGCTTAACATGCTGAGCCCGACAACTAAATTAAAAAAAAAAAATTAAAGATTGATTTATTACCGTTGGAAAGTCAGATATATAGAGAGGAGGAGATACAGAGAGGAAGATCTTCCATCCAATGATTCACTCCCCAAGTGGCTACAATGGCTGGAGCTGAGCCAATCTGAAGCCAGGAGACAGGAGCTTGTTCTGGGTCTCCATGTGGGTGCAGGGTCCCAAGGCCCTGGGCTGTCCTTGACTGCTTTCCCAGTTTACAAGCAGGGAGCTGGATGGCAAATGGAGTAGCCGGGAAGAAGCACCTATATGGAATCCCGGCAAATGCAAGGCGAGGACTTCAGCCAATAGGCTAGTGACGGGCCCAATCAGAACTCTTTCTTCTTTTTTTTAAATCTAGATCTTTCTGAGAAAGTTATGGGGCATAGCTATAAAGTGTGCTTCCAAAGATATGATGTGTTATATATTTTATCATTGACAGTGGGGCAGTTGGTGAAATAGTGAAAACTTGCTAGGATATTTCGCAAGCTTGTACAGTATTTTTTGTTGACATTTTAGGTAGTGGAGTTTATGATATGTTCAGGGGTCATTGTCAATGTGGATTTTTCAGTTGCCAGAAAAGGTGTTTTAATAGTTTATTACTTTAATGCAGTTTGAGTTGCATGTATTAGAAAATGCTTAGCTGGTTTGCAAAAATTGTATTTTTTGTTTAAAGGTGAAGTGGATCCTAAAGAGAGGATAGCACGCCAACGAAAACTGTTACAGAAGAAACTTGGCCTTAACATGGGAGAAGCAATTGGAATGAGTACTGAAGATCTCTTCAATGATGAAGATTTGGATTATACCCCAACTTCAGCAGCCCTTGTAAACAAACAACCTGTAGGTAAAATGTTTGGTTGTTTGATTGCAAGCAGTAGTATAAAGGATTTGTCTCGTTGTGCTTATGCAGTTAGAAACTTCAAAACAGAAAACTGTGCTTAATTCTGCTGAGTGCTCTTGAGTTTCAGTGTAATTTAGTGTGTCTTCACTGAATTTCTGGTGATAGTTTGTAAAGTGATAGCAACGTAGTCCACAGCCTAGACATTAGACTTTTTTATTTACTTTTATTTATTCTGAGAGGGAGGGAGGGACAAAGGGAATGGTAAAGAGAGGAAGAGAGCGGGCGTGCACAAATGAGCTGCCATCCCGTGGTTCACTGCCCAAACTGACACATTGCAGAAACCCAGTTGCATGAACTGCTATTGTTGTCTCCCAAGGGTCTGCATTAGTAGGAGGTGGGAGCTGGATATTATAAACCTAGGCACTCCGGTGTGGGACTGGACATCTTAATTGCTAAGCCGGATGTCTGCACTGATAATAGACTTAAAAAAAAAACTGCGACAGACATTTTAGGAATTACTGGGATTGAAAGATTTAGTTGTCTTAATTGCTTTTTTTTTTTGGTCTTTTAGGACGAAAAAAAGTAATTTTGGGGAGAATGAATGATAGTAGGGTTATATAATTAAGAATAATAATAGAAGTCTTTAGAACTATGACTTGTTACTTTTTTTAAAGTTTTGTTTTTGCGGGGGAGGTGAGGGGTAGTCAGATACACAGAAAGTAGGAGACAGAGAGGAAGATCTTCCATCTGCTGATTCACTCCCCAAGTGACTGCAACAGGCGGTCCTGCGCCTGTCTGAATCCAGGAGCCAGAAGCTCTTCCGGGTCTCCCACATGGGTGTAGTATCCCAAGGCTTTGGGCTGTCCTTGACTACTTTCCCAGGCCACAGGCAGGGAGCTGGATGGGAAGTGGGACAGCTGGGATACGAACTGACACCCATATGGGATCCTGGAGCATTCAAGGCGAGTACTTTAGTTGCTAGGCTACTATGTCAGGCCCACTTAATTTTTTTTTTTTTTTTAAAGAATTGCAGAGAGAAAGAGAGATTGAGATCCCCTAGCCCAATAATTCATTCCCCAGATGGCTGTTAACAGTCAAGGCTGGGTCAGGTCAGAGGCAGGGGCTTTGTGTGGATCTCCCACTTAGGTAGCAAGGGTCCAAGCAGTTGCTTCATGTTCTGCTGCTTTCCCAGATGGGTTAGTAGGTAGCAGCACAGAAAGCAGAGCAGACAAGACTCAACTCAACACTCCTGTTGGACATTGGCGCTGCTCCGCTGCACTGTCGCCCTGCTTGTGCATATTACTAAGCTGTTACGTCAAACAGTTGAAGGCCTGAAGAAAACTGCTCTTCCCCTTGAAAAAATACATATGTCAGAGCAGTCTCCCATTTCACAGGGTCAGACACTCTTTCCCCTGTCTTCCAGTTGCTGTTTACAGTACCATAGCATTATTAGGAATTCTTGCTTTGGAGACAGGAATCCTTGTTTGCGCCATCTTCCCTGTTGACCTTTCCGTTTGTTTCCGTTTGTTTGCTCTGTGTGTCCTATAGTCATTGGAATTTGATTTTTTTTCCATACTTGATCTTAGTCAAAAGGCTGAGAAGTGATGATTTATGTTTCTGAGACACAGTTACTGTGATGCATAACTTTTCCCTGTAACTTTCATAGATGAGAAAAAACTAGAGTCAGATACTAGAGAGGAAAAGGACAGGTTTAAAAAGGCAGAAATGCAATGACAACTAGAAAGGAATAGGAAATTGAGATGAAAGAAAGCATAAAATAGCATAAAACAGGAAGAAACAGAATAAAAATGTAGTAATGTGGAGGTGGCATTGTGGTGCAACAGGTTAAGCTTGACAGTGTTACAGGTATCTTATTTTGCAATACAGACTCAAGTTGTGGCTGCTTTGCTTCTAATCTAGGTTCCTGCAAACACACCTGGGAAGGCAGGTGAACTTTCTCAAGCATTTGTGCCCCTCCCCACGCCCATAGGAGACTTAGGTGGAATTCTCTTTTTTTTTTTTCTCTTTATTCCTTTTCTTTTCTCTCTTTCTTTCTCAGTTACAACGTAAGAGAGAGACAAATCATCCACTTGTTGATTTAGTCCCAAAGATGGCTATAATGGCCAGGGCTGGGTCATGCTGAAGCCAAGAGCTTCATCTTTGTCTCCTTTGTGGGTGGCTGGTGCACAAGTTTTGGGCCATCTCCTTTTCCTAGACCTTTAGCAGGGAACTGAGTCAGAAATGGAGGAGGCAGAGCCTAGGGCCCATATAGGATGTTTTACTCGCTATGCCGCAATGCTGCCCTCTTCCTGTTCCCACCCCCTACAGAGTTCTTTTCTCTGTTTCAGAAGTTTGTAGAGTTAACCTGTGGATGAATGATCTCTGCCTCTCGGTCTTTCCTTCCCACTGTGACATTCTGCCTTTTAAAAAATATACTAATGTGCTCCTAATGTGGGTAGTTGAGCACGTTTTTAGTAAATGAATAGGTATAGGGACCAGACTGTACCTCCTTATTCCTGGGCTGTGTAGCCAGCTAATCTCTGCCTGCAGTGCCTCAGTTCTTCCCCTTCTGATCCAGCTCCCTGCTTATGGATTGGGAAAGCAGTGGAAGATGGCTTAAGTCCTTGCACCCCTGTACTCCTGTGGGAGTCCAGGAAGAAGCTCCTGATTCTGGCTTTGGATTGGCTCAGCTCAGGCTGTTCGGCTATTTGGGAAGTGAATCAGTGGATGGATGATTCTCTCTCTTTTTCTACACTGTAAATCTACTTTACAGTAAAACAACAATAACAACAAAGAAAATGCAAATGAATAGGTATAGACAAAGTGGGTTATAGATAATCAGAGTAGTTGGAAACTGTGGATAGTACAGTTTGGGGTTTGTAAGATTCAGGTTTGACTGGTTTTATATATTATAGACCTTTAGGGGAAGGAAGTTCCTTAAAGTTTGTTATTACCATAGGCCCATCTTATCTTCATTGCTTTATATATCTTTCACCAGTTTCTGGATCCATATTGCAGTGGGACATCCATGCCAGTGACCCTAATTGATAGTGGAAATGTAAATTTCATTTGATTCTCACAGTTAGGCACTGGAAAGATTTGTAGTCTTGGGTTTAAAGTGTTTCTTTACATAATTTTCAAAGTGTTGTTTCAGGATGGAAAAGAAGGCAAAATGAGTGGATGGTGAGTGGTTAAAGGAAATTAGCACATGGACTCATTTGAGTCTAGAATTCTGGGCTGCCCTAATATATTATGGCTATAATTATTTCCAGCTGTTTTTAACAGATGAACTATGATTCAATTTCTGTTATTAACATCCTTTTTTCTTGTGACTTTAAGTGGTATTATGGCTATTTCGAAGTCTCACCTCTTTAAAGTCCTCTGTGTTGGGACCATACATTAATATTAAGTTTGTGGCGTTAAGACAGTTAAACTCTTGCATGTTTGATGAGATGTGAAAAACCAGGAGGAGGAGGAAGAGAATGAGATTATGATACAGCTAGAGTGGAGGAGCTTGGGGCTGTCAGAAGGCATGTGACCAGTCTGTATAACCTGGAACTGTTAGGTTAATTGTTTTTTGAGACGCAGGCAATAGGTATTTATTTTAACCTCAAAAGTTTAAACTGAACATTCTTTTATTCCTTTAGACTCTCCAGGCAGCTGAATTGATTGATTCAGAATTTCGGGCAGGAATGAGCAATAGACAGAAGAACAAAGCTAAGAGAATGGCCAAATTATTTGCGAAACAGAAATCCAGAGATGCAGTGGAAACGAATGAGAAGAGGTAGTAATCTTTCTCTGCTTTTCACCTAAAAGGAGTGTTGCTTTGTGGCTTGACTCTACTAACACAGGAGAAACCTTTTGTTGGTGGTGTAGCTGGGGAGTACCGTTGGTACTGTCCTGCTCCGTTGGTGGAGGTTGGAGGAGTTGTACTGTTAGGGACAGAGACCACTTGCCCAGAAATGTCATCTTGTGGAGCCTTTCTGAAAGCTTTTTTACATTTTTAAAGCAGTTCATTTTCAGTATATTTGAATGGAAGAGAAAATGAATGAAAATGAGAGAATGAGTATCTTCTGTCTGCTGATTCATTCCCTAAGTGCCTGGCACAATTAGGGCAGAGCCGGGCTAAAGCCAGGAGTACAGAACTCAGAGTCCCTGAAGTGCATAGTCGGGAGTGAAGTGATTGAACCATGAGCTGTCCAGGACCCATCTCAGCCAGAAGTTAGGATTAGAAGCAGGGCCAGGACACAACCCAAGCCACTTCAGTATGGGATGCAGGTGCCTCGAGTGGTATCTTAACGCTGTAACTATCATGTCAGAATGAGGGAGGGTGTTCTATGCTAAGGAAACAAGTGTAAATACATCACTTATGGAAAATTCAGGAAATGGAAGAGCATTGTGACTGGAATCAGTAAACACAGTGAAGAGTAATAGAAAATAAAATAAAGGGCCAGCGTAAGCCAGCTAATCCTCTTCCTGCAGTGCTGGCATCACATATAGGCACAGGTCAATTCCTGGCTGTTCTACCGAAAGTTGGGAACATTAACATTAGTAAAGTAAAAATTGCCATGATATTGTATCTCTAGATTGATGGCTATATTAAACTGTGACTAATAATCCAGGCTTGCTTGTTTGATCTTGTTGTAGAAGAGAACTCTCTGGGTATAGTGAATATCATCACTTTCTGTATGAATTAATAAAAGTGAATTTTTTTATATGACTTGGGGTCATTTCTCCAAGGATGGTTTGAAACTGTTTATATGCTGTTTGACGGGCTTGTTAAATGCAGATTATTGGGCTCAATTTACGCCTATTAAATTAGAATATTTAGTGTTGTTCAAGAAAAATATGTAATGGTGAATTAGTAAACCTTGAAAAAAACTATAAAAATAAGATTTTATTGCAGATGACAAAAATTTTTTTCTTTTTACATACTAGACAATATTCTCTGTTCAAAAACTAGGCACAAAGTGGTAAATTGGAATCATCTACTTGGTAGAATTTATTTGCATATATTCCTTATTTTTGTTTTTAACTTTTTCTTAAAGATTTACTTATTTTTATTTGAAAGGCAAATTTTACAGACAGAAATCTCCCCAAATGGCCACAGTGGCTGGAGCCGAGTAGTTCTGAAACCAGGAGCTTCTTCCAGATCTCCCATGAAGGTGTAGGGTCCCAAGGACTTGAGTCCATCGTGTCCACTGCCTCCCAGCAGGAAGGGTGAATTGAAAGTGGAGCAGCCAGGACACAAACGGGTGCCTATTTGTGATGCTGGCACTTGCAGGTGGTTATTAGCCTACTGAGCCATCACCCCTGCACCAGCTTCCCAGGTTCATTATTTATTTATTTTTTAAAAAGATTTATTTAATTTTTATTGGAAAGGCGATATACAGAGAGGAGAGACAGAGAGGAAGATCTTCCGTTCGATGATTCACTCCCCAGGCGGCTGCAACGGCTGGAGTTGAGCCAATCAGAAGCCAGGAGCCGCTTCTGGGTCTCCCACACGGGTGCAGGGTCCCAAAGCTTTGGGCCATCCTCGACTGCTTTCCCGGGCCAGAGGGAGGGAGCTAGATGGGAAGTGGGGCTGTGGGATTAGAACCGGTGCCCATATGGGATCCTGGGGCATGCAAGGCGAGAACGTCAACCACTGCGCCATCGTGCTGGGCCCCCAGGTTCCTTATTTTTATAAACTCATTGAGCTTGTCAACTCCTGAATTGTTTTTATTTTTTTTCCCTTCATATCAAGGATGAGCTTCTTTAATCAGAAAATCCAAAATCTGAGATCCTCTGCAGTCTGAAACTTTTTTGAGTTCTAGGATGCTGAGAATTTCCTTGAAATTCTTAGTGAGATTGTCTCGGAGAGCTTCATAGAGGTGACCTTAGAAAGTGCTGAAAGCATTGAGGGCACTTGCTGTGTGAATATCTAGGAAAAGACTATTCCAGATAGAGGGGGCAATTGCCTAGAAGTGAAAACATGTCTAGCAAATTCAAGGATAGAAGAAGGCTGACCAGTGTGGCTTCTTGATAGAATTAAGGATAAAATGTAATAAGGGACGAGGGGGGCTAGGATTTCTTTCCATACATCATAAAAATGAATCGCCAAACAAGTCACGTATGTTGAGATGGAAAGGGGAAATACAGAAAAAATGCTGTGTATGCTTTAAAATATGATGATGATTCTTTTAATACTGAGAATAGTAGTTTTACCTATGCTTTCCTTTGTTAAGTTTGGTGTTTTTGGTTAATGATACTTCCTCAACTTCTCTGCCCCTTTTTCTTGTCTGACCTCTGTATTTCCCAAGAAGTAGTAGGATTATATTGCATTGTTCAGCGCGTTTGTTTTCTCCAGGGTCTAAAATCTTGAAAAAGTTAATGTCATTCTGTGATAGATTTTGATTGTAGTTTCAAATTCAAAAGGAAGTTGTGAAGAGGAAGAAGAAATAATGTGTTAAGTGATAGGTCTAGCTTAAAAGGAATTCAGTGACTGCAGTGGGGTATGTTTTGCTCAAAAGTTAAGCAGAGCTGTTACTGGATAATGTAAGACTTTAAATCGTGCAAGCAAAAATGGTAAATAGTTTATTCTGAAGATAAAGTCTCCTGCGACCATTGTGATTCATATTCTTGATTTGCTTTTTAAAATGGTGACTTTTTCTGTTTTTAAGCAATGACAGCACTGATGGGGAGCCAGAAGAAAAGAGACGGAAACTAGCGAATGTTGTTATTAATCAGCCTGCAAATGATTCCAAAGTCTTGATTGATAATGTTTCAGACAGTTCATCCTTAATTGAAGAGGTACTGTTGAAATGTCCTCAGATGTCTTAAAGATACTCGATGTTTTTCAAGCTGATCATGATAGAGTATTAATAATGTTGAAAGACATTTTGGTAAAAATCTTGGTACTTTTTTTTGGAAAATAAAAACAAAACAAAACACAAACAAAAAAATTTTAAAGCCAGGTCATTATTATTGAGCTTGTAAATGAATATACTTTATTGAACTACTTAAATTGTTGGCATTAAGTAGGCCTTTTGAACTAGAAGTAATTCAGTTTTTCTTGTTCAGACAAATGAGTGGCCTCTGGAAAGCTTTTGTGAAGAACTTTGCAATGACCTTTTTAATCCTTCCTGGGAGGTAAGATTTCTTTATTATAGTTTCTCTCAAGCTTGTTTTTTGTACTATTGAAGGGAATAGTGTCAAGAATACTGGCCATGTTCACTTGTGGCATTCGTAGGACTCAGCACATTGAACATAGCAAACAGGCTGATTCTCACCTTTAGTGTCCTTTTAATCTTACAGTGGATTGTTCATTTCTCTTCACTTTTTAAAAAGATTTATTTGGAATGCAAGTATGTAAAGAGAGAGGGAGAAAATCTTCCGTTTGACAGTTTATTCCCTGAATGACTCTTGGGGCCAGGCGAAGCAAGGAGCTATTTCTGGATTTTCCACATGGGTGCAGGGTCTCAAGCACTTTGGCCATCTTTCGCTGCTTTTTCTGGCCATTACCAAGGAGCTGCATTGGAAGTAGAACAGCCAGTACTTGGACTGGCTTGAAGCATATAGGTGCTGGCATTCGTAGACCCCAGCCTAACTCTCACAGCCCCAGCTCGCAGTCCAGCCGCTCAGTGTTTCATCTGTAATCCACAGCTTTGTATGTCTCACTAAGGCAGTAAAAATTGCTTCCTTCCCTTTGGGAGTGCATGAGTTTGATTGGTCCAGAGCAGTCGTTCCAACTAGCTTTTAACCTTTGGAATATTTCTACAAAGACAATTTTGAACGGTCCATATACGTAAGAGTTGAAAGTGAAGCTCCTCTGGCTGAATTTGAGAGTTTGAGAGTTGGTAGCCTCAGTCCTTTCTGTCCCCTTCCAAATGGCACCTGGGTAATTTAGGAAAAGACTGCTTTGAAATGTGTTTTATCTGCCTTTCTGCTCCTATTACACTTGTTTCTGAGATTTTTTAAAAAAAAATTTTTATTGAAAAGACAAATTTATAAAGAGTAGAGACAGAAACATCTTTGATCTGCTGGTATACTCACCAAGTCACTGCAACGGCTAGAACTAAACTGATCTGAAGCCAGGCGCCAGGAGGTTCCTTTGGGTCTGCCACATGGGTGCAGGATCCCAAGTCTTTGGGGCATTCTCTATTACTTTTGCAGGCCACAAGCAGGGAACTAGATGTAAAGTGAAGCAGTTGGGACATGAATTAATGCCTGTGTGGGATGTGGTGCTTGTAGGTGGAGGATTAGCCAATTGAGCCAATGTGTCAGCCCTGGCCCCTCTTCCAAAAATTCTTTCAGTCTTATCCTAAATGGGGTGTTAAATAAATACATGCAGAGTCAATATGGTTTTCTTTACTTTCATATGACAGTGGGGAAAGGTTCCTCATCTCTGAGAAAGGTATTTTATCCCAAAACTGTAGTAAAGCAATAGCCATGAGACATTTTCCTTTAATTTTCTTTTTTTTATACTTATCACTTATAGTTTTTGGATCTTTTAGAGCTTATTTTTGTATGTATTTCTAAAAACACTGCTGAATTTACTTTAGTTTCTGAAAAGTTCAATGTCTCTTTAATATTGAGGAAAAGTTAAACAGTTTCTTAAACCTTTAAACTGCAGCTGTTTCTTGGTTCTTCTCAGGTTCGACATGGTGCAGGCACGGGACTTAGGGAAATTCTGAAAGCTCATGGGAGAAGTGGAGGTAAAATGGGAGACAGCACTCTGGAAGAGGTGAGTGCACTAAAGCCACAGCTATCACCAGGTCTTGATAGTTGGCTGCTTCTTTCAGTATTTGGAAGTAACAAAAGTAATGATTATGAAGTAGCATCAAGAAGTACGTAAGAGGAAGAAGTATGGAAAAATGAATGTAAGGATAACGCAGAGATGAAAATGAGTACATGGAAAAAACGTGTTCTAACATACTTAGTTGAAAAACTAAACAAGCAAGAATTGTGCAGAATGGAGTGGAATGTTTGAGTAAGATGAATAAGGCTAGTAGAGGCCAGTGAGTAGCGTGTTTGATGTGGCTTGTAGGTCAGTATAGGATAGTGATACTTGCTATTAGATCAGACTTACATAATTACTCTCTCTTGGAGTCTCCTGAACCTTCCCAGAGGATTTGGCGGTTTTAACTCTGTATATCAACATTTACACAAAAGCTTCTCCTTTTTCTGTCCATACTTACAATAAAAACACCACGTGGGAAAGAATGGTGGAATCCTCTCTCCTTTGCTTGTGCATATCCTCATAAAATAATTCAACTATAATATCCATGAGTTCCATGAATTTTGGCTGTAGTATTTCTGAATCAAAGTAATCAAATACAGGAAAAGACTAATTAATATAAGAGTGATAATTTAGAGTAATCTACTTTTTGGTGGTGGTTCTTACAGTTAAAACAATCTGTCCCAGTATTGTATTTTTTATGTTGAACCTAAGGTATCTTTGCATTCTCTGATACAAAGAGTGATCCTTGTGTGTTATTACGCATGATTGTATGTTGACAGATGATTCAGCAGCACCAGGAGTGGCTGGAGGACTTGGTCATTAGACTCCTTTGTGTTTTTGCATTAGACAGATTTGGAGACTTTGTTTCTGATGAAGTAAGTATCACTGAATTGAGACTTTGTCCAGTCATATTTCAAATTGTATAAATTGTTTTATGCAAATAGGAATTTCCTTTCTCAATTGTAGGTGGTGGCACCAGTTCGTGAAACCTGTGCTCAGACATTAGGTGTGGTTTTAAAACATATGAATGAAACAGGAGTTCATAAGACTGTGGATGTGCTGCTGAAATTACTTACACAAGAACAATGGGAAGTTAGACATGGTGGTCTACTGGGAATAAAATATGCATTGGCAGTTCGTCAGGTAAATACTTCAGTTGTTGAAGTATGTGTTGGAAGGGTTGTTTTCTTTTTTTCTCCTGATTTAAGTTTCCTTAGTTAAACACTATATTAGAGAAAAAGTTGTATACAGGGAGCTGGATTCTTCAAGAGCCAAGAATTGAACCCAGACACTCCAGTTTGGGGTACTAGTGTGTTAACACCTTTCTGAAAGGAAGATTACAAATGTGGAGCTAAAGAGACACCAGCACTAAACTTTTTTAACCTGCTTGGTTTACCTGAATTTTCCCTAGAACTGGCCATCAGTGTCAGAGCCTTAGGGATTTACGTACAGGGTTGTTTTTTTTTTTTTTTTTTTTTAAAGAGAGACAGAGTGATCTTCCATTTGCTGGTTTGCTCCCCAGATGGTTGTAGTGGCCGAGGCTGGGCCAGGCTTGAAGCCAAGAACCAGGAGCCTCTTCTGGGTTTCCCATGTGTTAGAGTAGGGAATCCCTAGAAGCTGAGAATATACTAGAGATCTTGCATGTGGGCCAGAGCTGGGTATATTGAACTCAGATATGACTGTCTTAACTGCTAGCTTGTGTGTCTCTACCCTTTTCCTGATATTTTAAATTCCATTACATGATAAATACTTAATGCTGTTTCTGTCATTTTAAAATGGATTAGTTGGGCCTGGTGTGATAGCGTAGTAACTAAATCCTCGCCTTGAATGTGCCGGGATCCCATAGGGGTGGGTGCCAGTTCTGATCCTGGCAGCCCCGTTTCCTATCCAGCTCCCTGTGGCCTGGGAAAGCAGTTGAGGACTACCCAAAGCCTTGGGACCCTGCACCCCCATGTGGGAGACCTAGAAGGAGCTCTTGGCTTTGGATTGGCTCAGCTCCAGCTGTTACAGCTACTTGGAGAGTGAAGTAGTGAACAGAAAATATTTCTCTGTATCCCCCTTCTCTCTGTATATGTCTTCCCAATAAAGAAATAAAATTATTTTTTAAATGGGATTAGTTACATGGGCTTATTGATTTAGTTTTCCTGTTTCATTGATGCTTTTAAAATATATAGGAATGTATGCTTTGTGACATTTAATTTAAAAATGCTCAATCACAGTAAATTGTATTGTAGCAAATTAACCTACTTTGTTGTATTGTTTTACAGGATGTAATTAATACTTTACTGCCTAAAGTTTTAACTAGAATAATTGAAGGACTGCAGGACCTCGATGACGATGTCAGAGCTGTTGCCGCAGCATCGTTGGTACCTGTAGTAGAAAGCCTTGTCTATCTTCAGACTCAAAAGGTAAATTAAATTAGTTTTATTTATATTTTATTGCAATATAGCATGTTTACATTTGGGACATGGAATATTAGGAAATTCATTGAGTACCTTTTCTTCTCCTTTATTAATTTTTTATGACAGGCATCCCTGTGTTGTATGCAATCTAGATTACCTATTGTCTTTAGGAAGAATGAATTAATCTATTAATCTTCCCCTTTGTGTATGTAATATACAGAGAATTACTTTGAAACGAATGCTGCCAGATCTTCCTGCTGCTGCTGGGTTTTAGATCTGTGTGGCTTTAGATTTTAGCGTTTGGCTTTTGTTTTTTTAATAGTTCCAGTTTTTGAAGTATAAGATCTGCCTTTTTCATGTTATCAAAACTACAACATAAAGCTGGAAATCCAGCAAGCATTTTTTTCAGTGCTTAAAAGCTGAATTTGTGTTTTCATTATGGTTAGTACCCTTTTTCCCCCCACTGGAAGCACAGATTTACATAGTAGAGGAAAAATAGATCTTCAGTCTGCTGGTTCACTTCCCAAATGGCCGTAACAACCGGGGCTGAGCCGATCTGAAACCAAAAGGCAGGAGTTTGTTCTCTGTTGTCTCGTGTGGGCACAGGGTCTCCAGGCTTTAGGCCATCCTCTGCTACTTTCTAAGGTCATAAACAGCGAGCTGGGTAGAGACGGAGCAGCTGGGACACATCCCGGGCATCCTGGTGCCGTATGGAATGCTGGGTAGAGTATTAGACAATTGAGCTATTGTGCTGGCCCCCTTTAGTGTTTTTTTAAGTACACTAAAATAGCTTTACATAAAGAGCATGTCTGTGTCCTTATGCTGTATTTTCAAACTTCGACGTTTTACAAAGATGAACATCAATTGTTTAATTCTCTGAATTTCCCATTTGCCATAGTCATAGTTAGGGTAGAAAGTGCAAAGTGAGTTGACTGGTACGAAAAAGAGGGATAAAGAGAATTGCTAAAGGCAAATAATGTCTCCTTCATATCACCTATACCTGGTCTTACGTGTTTTCACTGGGGTTGTGTATTTTGTTAAAACACTAGATGCTACTGGCAGGATTTGCAAATATTTTTGTGTAAAATTCATCTCTCTTTTTTTTTTTTGAAAACTGATCTTGTAGGTGCCCTTCATTATAAATACATTATGGGATGCTCTTCTGGAATTAGATGATCTAACAGCTTCAACAAATAGTATTATGACTCTTCTTTCATCCTTATTAACTTATCCACAGGTCCAACAATGCAGGTAATTATTTCTAATTAGTAGAATAAAGTGGAAAGCTTTATATATTTTATAGATAATTAAGCTAAATATATTCTGGTTCTTTGAGTTTGGGTGCCAAAAACCACTGTTTTCAGAAGTCTTTTCTTCTGTATTCTCTGACCACCAGCATGTTGAGGGCAGGAATTTTAGAAAGGGTATTTTCCTTGCCTTTGGGTTACTTTGGTTAAATAATTATCATCTTGTTAGTCTTAATTTACTTTGGAAATATAATCATTGTATGTTATTTCTAATTCTAAATCCAGAATGTTAGATTTAGCCTTATTGAATAAATTTTAATTATTAGGATTATTAATGGACATCATTTTGCCCTTCTCAAATTTTCCTTGTATGCTCATTTCTTCAGTTCTTATTTTTGATGTCATAATTCAGAAAGAGAAAACATAATAATATAATGCAATACCCCAGACAGAGATCAGGGCAGCCAAAAATTCACACCAAATTTAAATTGTGTCTGGTTTCCTGTCCTGATATTTGACGTTAAACTCAGCTGGTTCTTGGATAGTGTTACTTATATTAGTAGTATCCCTAGAGTTACCAAAAAAAAAAAGGGGGAGAGGGATTGTGTAACTTTAAAAAAAACAACAGGAAGGTAAGAATTAATTAAGGTAACTTGCATAAATGTTTTTCTTAAGCTGTGAAATGCAAAGACGTCTAATTTTCTTTAATCGAAGGTTAGTAAATTTTTTTCTTTGAAGGTTCAAATAGTGAATATTTTGCTTTTGTTAGCTGTAGAAAGTCAGCTGAAGCAACATCTTTTGCAGCATAAAAACAGCAATAGATAATATAAAGGAATAAATGAATCTGTATTACAGTAAAATTTGTTTTAGGCAATGAGTGGCGATGATTTGGCCCATGGGCCTTAGTCAGTGGTCTCAGAAATGCTAGATAATATAAGCAAATGTAAGAATGTTGTGAAAATTCTGTGACTTCAGTGTAAAATAATGCAGTTTTCTATCTTTGTTTTGAAATTGCCTGATGGGGAAGCTTGCTTCTTATGTTCTCATACTTGGCACACGCTTTCTAGCTTATGTGAGGAGAAATGCAGCATGTCATTTGGAGCATGAATAGTTACACTGTTAACAAGACTCTGTAATGATGCTTTTGAGGATTTTGAAGCTTCTTTATCTTTGTGTGCCTGTGTTTGAATTAGAATTTTATATGTGTATTTACTAAGTGTATAAATATGCATAAGAAGTAATGCTCATACAAAAATGTAAGTAATGAACTAGTACTTATAGGCAGATGTCTTCAGAGGAGCCACAAATATGGAGAAGTAAATAAATTGTGCTTGCGTATTGATTTTTGTTCATTTTCTACAGAGGTATATAATTTTCAAATGTTAGTTTTGAGTCCCTTTATTTCCTGGTCATTTTTTTTATTTTTTTCCCCATTGGTGAAGGATTTGAAAGGTTTATTATGCACAGGGGGAAGGCCTGGTCCTCAGCACACTTTGCTCACTGCACCAAGCCACTGCTTAGCTCTTTCACTTCCTTGTGTGGCTGTCTCCCTGCCCTTCTCTGGATGAGTTGTGCAGTGCTTTGTCCTTAGAATACGAGCAGCTCCTTGGCATGGTGCTTCTGCCAGGCAGATCTGGACGCCTGGGTTGTGTTCCACAGAGCTGGCTGAGCCTGATGAGTCGACGCTGTGGTGGCTGTGCCATTTTCTGCAGCACCTAGTAGAATTCTTGGGGGCCCCCAGCCACAGAATAGCCTGGAGACATGGCTGCCTTTCAATGGCTGCCGTGGCAGAGCTAATTCCAGGTGATATATACAGTGCCTTGGGAATGTGCCAGTCATTCTGTAGTCCATGATAACTTAGACTTATTTAAAGTTACCTTGACTTATTTATTGCTTCCTTATTTAAAATGGAATTGTAAGAAGGGAAAAAACATTGTGTTTTGCTAACTTAATGATGCTAGTTCAGGGTAATTTTCAAAGCTTCTGTCGTGGCACCCCTTGCTCATTTGGTACGTGGCAGAACTGGCTCCACAAATGGATTGGGGTTTATGAGCGTCCACGTTTTGGCATTTGCCCTTAAGGTTAATGATCTATCCTGACTGTGTGGCTACTAGGTGGCATACAACTCATGGCGTTCGTGCCACAGGAGAACCTAATGTTTGTGTTTCTGCATTTCTTTATGGCTGCTTTTATTCGGCCACATCTGATGCGACAGTAGCAGTTTTGAATGAGGATGTTAAGTTTTGAATGAGGATGTGAAAATGATCATTTGAAAACTGTTTTTTAGAAATTATTTAAATTATTCATAGAAAGGGATACTGTTAGCATCACTAGATCCACATGCAGATAATTTTAGGTAGTGGATCTATAGAGTTTTAAGTGAGAATAAGATTAATTTGTGTCTTTTTTGACAGTATTCAGCAGTCACTCACAGTTTTGGTTCCACGTGTCTGGCCTTTTTTGCATCACACCATATCATCTGTTCGAAGAGCAGCATTGGAAACTCTGTTTACATTGTTATCCACACAGGACCAGGTAAGAAACATTAACAATAATGTAAATATGTACAGTGCATCACTCTGTGATGTTTGTAGCCTCTGGTTTTTGATAGCTGTGGAATAATCATTGTGTTCAGTGTTACAGTGTAGTTCAGTGGCTTTACCTTTTTTTTTTTTAATGCCCCTCCTTCCTCCTCCTGAGTCCGTGTAAACACTGATCTTTTTACTGTCCCCTTAGTTTTGCCTAGTCATTCTGTCTTAGGTTGGAATCATGTAGTACGTAGCCTTTTCAGCCTGGCTTCTTTCACTTAGCAACATTGCGTTGAGGTGCCTCTGTGTTTACCTGTGACTTCAAGGTTCATTTTTCTTTTTTTCTTAATCATTTAATATTTAATATTTAATCATGGATATGCCACAGCTCAGTTACTTATTTATCAATTGATTGCTTCCACGTTTTGACAATTACAAGTAATAAAGTTGCTATGAACTTTAATGTGCAGGTTTTCATGTGAGCATAAGCATTTGATTCAGTTGAGTAAGTACCAAAAGCATGGTTGTTGGATCATATGATAAGAGAATGTTTCATTTTGTAAGGAACTAACCAACTGTTCCGTGTTGCATTTCCTGCAGCGGTGAGTCAGGCTTTCTGTGGCTCCATATCCCAGCCAGCATGCTGCGATGTTGTAAATTGTAGCCATGTAATAGGGACACAGGAGTATTCCAGTGTTGTTTTAATTTACAGTTTGCTAGTGAAATATGATGTTGATCTTTCTTTTCATGGGCTAATTGCCATCTGTATCTGATCAGATCTTTTGCTCATTTTAAATTATTTTTATTGAAGAGTAAGATTTACAGGGAGGAGAGATAGATCTTCACTTTATGACCTCTTTTGCTCTGCCACATCTGCTGCAATAGTAGCGGTTTTGAATGACAATGTTAAATGAAAATGTCATGTGATAACTGTGCTTTTAGAAATTATTCATCTAAAAAGGGCACTGTTAGTATCATTAGATCCACATGAGAATAATATTTAGGCAATGTATCACTCCCCAAGTAGCTGCAACAGCCACAGCTGAGCCAGGAGCCTCTTCCTGGTCTCCTTGCAGGTACAGGGTCCCCAGGCTTTGGGTCATCCTCCATTAACCCTCTACCCCAGGCCACAGGCAGGGAGCTGGATGGGAAGTGGAGCAGCTGGGACATGAACAGGCACCCATATGGGATCCTAGTGCATGCAAGGCAAGGGTTTAGCCACGCAGCCCTTGTGCCGGGCCCTTTTTTACTCATTTTAAAATTGAGTTGGTGCAGTTTTCTGGTAGTGATTAAGATGCTTCTTGGAATCCACCATCTCATGTTAGCCTGCCTGAGTTTTAACCCTAGCTCCACTTATGATTACAGCTTCTTGTGAATTTGCTACCTGTGTAGGAGACTTGAATTGAGTTTCCGGCTTTGGCCTGGTCCAGTGTAGCTTTGTCAACATTGAGGAACTCACAGATTGGAGATCCTGTTTGTCTATGTCTCTCTCTCTCTGCTTTTCAAGCACATAAATACATAGAAAAAATAATTGTTTGTTTTCTTACTATATCAAGAGTTTCTTGTATATCTTGGATATATCAGGTTTTTTAAAAAGAATTTATTTGAAAGAGGACGGGAGGAAGGGACAGAGAGAGACAGAGAATCTTCCATCTGCAGGTGCACTCCCCAAATGACTGCAGCGCTGGGGCTAGGCCAGGCTGAAGCTGGGATCACGAGCTTCAGCAGGGTCTCTCAGCGTGGGTGCAAGGGAAGTATCTTGTATGAATGAGTTTTCTGCGTGATTGAAACATACTTATTCCAAAAATAAGCATGGTGAATAATGTACTAGATTGTCATCCTAACGTATGGCTAATAGGTTGAAATGTTTTAGCCAGTCACTCATCAGCATTCTTTAGTGGTCATTTATTTTTATACTTGTGTATACTGAGACATGTAAGTTACTATTCTTAGTAAATACACTGTTCTTTTTCAGTTGCATGTTCCTCATTTTTCTCCCTTTCAGCTGTCAGATTTGGCTTCTCACTTTTGTTATTGTTAAAACTGTACCTGCTTATAGTACTTAATAATAATTTGCTTTATTTTATTTCTTTGTTTTTTATTTATAATTCTTAATAATTTGACAGAAACTTAAAAGGAAGTTTGACTAAACATTGTTTTTGCAAGAAAATTAATACACAGAGGAAGCATTACTTTTTTAAAATTTGTTTGTGTCCAGTTTATTTCACTCAATATGATATTCTTCATTTCCAACCATTTTGTTGCAAATGGCAATCTCAGTTTTTGATGAGCTGTGTAAATACTTATCTATTCATCTGATGATGGACTCCAAGGTTGATTACATATTTTGGCTGCTGTGATCAGTACTGCTATAAAATTGCTATAAAATTGGTGATTATAGGTATCTTTTGAAACAATGAATTCATGTGTTTTATGGCGTATTCCCTCCCTGGTTTTGAAATTTTTAGATGAGCTCCCAGGAAATGCTCCTAGTGTTTTTAGCCTCACAATGGATATTGATATTGGCTGTTAACAAGTAGTTGTGAAAATATCTCTGTGTTCTGTACTGTTGGCTGTCATGCCTGGGGACTTCTCTGTCTTTTGAATTTACCTCTGCTAGCTCCCAAATGCAGGTTTTAGCACTTCATTTCTCATGCCATAACTTCAGTGATTATTTTGTCATTTGTGCCATGTCAGCCACCTCTTGTACGAAGGGTTTGTTAGGTAAATTAGTGTGAAATTCTAAGAATTCTAGGAGATAAGAAATCCAAATGATTCTTAGAAAAGTATAACATGTGATTATAGTAAGACAGTGATGTAATGTTTCAAAAAACCCTTGCAATAATGAACAGAAGATCAGAAAATGAATCAGGAAGCAACACTGGCGACTAGAACAAGAGTTGAAAAGTCAGGATTAGGGTAATATGATTGAAAAGCTGTCATTCCCTTACTTCTCCCTGGGTTGTATATAGCATCTTTGAGATGTACCTCTCATTTTGTTAACAAGATAACACATTTTAAATGATACAGAATGTATTTTGAGCAAATGTCTTTTCTAGTTTACTCCCTTTATGCTTTATTTTTAAATTTTTTTATATTATTTGAATGGAAGAGAAAGAGAGTGAGAGGAGTGACTCCTCAGGTGTCTACAGTGGCTGGCCTGGGCTGGTCTGAAGCTGAGGTAGGTGGCAGGAATCCAGTGGCTTGAGCATCGCTGCTGCCCTTTCAGGATCTATGTTAGGAGGAAACTCAGCCAGGCTTTTGTATGCAGGCAGTCTAATGTGTGATGCTGATTCCAGGCCAGATGCCCACCCCCTTTATGCTTTTTTCTTTACGATTTTATTTATTTTTATTGGAATGTCAAATATACAAAGAGAAGGAGAAACAGAAAGATCTTCCGTCTGATGGTTCACTCCCCAAGTGGCCACAATAGCCAGAGCTGAGCCGATCTGAAGCCAGGTGCCAGGAGCCTCTTGCAGGTCTTCCACACGGGTGCAGGGTCCCAAGGCTTTGGAATATCTTCTGCTGAGTTCCCAGGCCGCAAGCAGGGAGCTGGATGGGAAGTGAAACAGCCACGACACAAACCGGCGCCCACATGGGATCCCAGTGTGTGCAAGGAGAGGACTTTAGCCACTAGGCTGTGGAATGGCCCTACTTCTTTCCACCACCCCCACCTTTATACTTTAAATACATCTTACTTCCATATTTGAAGTTATTCTGATATGTACATGATTATATGATGCTTTATTTTTTATTCTTCCTATATCCCTTTGTTTTTGTTGTCTGTGTTTCTAAGTCCTTTGCCTTTAAAAAAAAAAAGAAAGAAAAAGAAAACTTACCTATGGCTGGCACCATTAAAGAAATTTCTCATTGTTTGTATGTGGCATGTATCATGGTATTTATTTAGTGAAAATAATGCCGTCATTGAAACAGTATGGATGTTGGATGTTACCCTGATGTCTTTCCACTATCCAGAGCCTCGTTGTCAGCATTCTTGCCACCGACAGTGGTGGCTGTGGCATTGATACTCTCCCAGTACATTGTGTTTTGACCTTCAGTAGATCCTTTACTGTTTTTCTTGTTTGTTTGTTTTTTTCCCCCCTAAATAATAATGCAAAGCCAAACTTTTTAGGGAGTTTTTCTTACTATTACCTGTATTCTTTAATTCTGAGAAATTTTTAAAATAAAAGAGCAGGAAATACAAAAATACTTGTTTCTACCATTTGTAAATTGCCATTTTTGGTTTTAAAAAAGTCATGATGAGGCATGAGTGATAGGTACTGGTGAAATAATTTAGTTTTTCTCATTGTTGGTCTTAGTGAGCTTGTATTTATTTGAAAAGCAATAGATAGCATTATCAGGTTTCTTATTCTGTACACAGAATATCTGAATATTTGATAAGAAGTATTTAGTTGCTTGGTTTGGGCAAGCTTTTGTAATCTCTCCAAACTGTTGAAAATATAAACACAGCATTTATTGTCTCAGATTCTCATGAAAATTTGTCACCAGGTGAACTTCTTTTGTTTGATGTATACTTCAGGTAAGCTGACACCCACAAAATCAGTGCTACAAACTTTAATCCTGTTTTTGTTTTCAGAACTCTTCGTCTTGGCTTATACCTATTCTGCCTGATATGCTCCGACACATTTTCCAATTTTGTGTTTTAGAAAGCAGTCAAGAAATTCTGGACCTTATTCACAAGGTACACAGTGAATAATTCTCTTCTTGTTTTAGTGACTTGGTAAACTAAAAAATAATTTTTATAATTGCTGTTCTGTTTGGGATTTTAGAAATTAGAGGTTTGAAAAAACAGGGATCCTAATTTGCAAAATAACATGGAAAACTAGGTTTTTTCTCTCTCTTTCCGTCTTTCTGTCTTTAAGATTTATTTATTTTGGGTGGAAAGGAGAGAAAAAGCTGGAGCTGAGCTGCTCTGGAGCCAGGCGTCTTCTCCAAGTCTCCTATGTGAATGCAGGATCCCATGACCTTGGTTCATCATCCACTGGTTTCCCAGGCTACAAGCAAGGGAGCTGGATGGGAAGTGGAGCTTCATCTGGCTCTGCCAAGTGTGTTGCATTGGCTCTATGCCATCTTCTGTTGATTTCCCAGGCACACTGTCAGGGAACTGGGTCAGAAGTTAAGCAGCCAGAACTCAAGCCGGCACCCATACGGGATGCCAACATTGCAGGGGGCATCTTTAGCAGCTGTGCCACAATGCCAGCCCGAGACTTGAGTCTTTGATTCAAGATGACTCGTATCAACAGCTTTGGATTAACAGTGATGTTGTATCTGTATGTTGGTCCTAACCTGTGATATGTTGATCTTAGCCTCTGAAATGTTAGGCATCAAGAAAGATAGCTTGTTGTGTAAGATCATGATTCAGGATTTGCACTGTGATTTATACTAGGATGTCACCACCTCTAAATTTAGCAGAGTATTTATCATTGTTGTATCTGAGAGTGTGCACTGCGAGGCCAGCATTGTGTTGGAGCTGCTTAGGGCACTACCTGCAGTGCTGCCATTCCTTAGGCGCACTAGTTCAGACCTTACGTATTCCGTTGTCGGACTGTGTGAATGTTATCAGGGCTTGTGATATTCACAAAGGATTTCAGAGACTAACTACTTTTGACAACTGGTATTTTATGAGCATATTTTTACTTTAAAAATACCTTAAAAATTGGACAAGAATCTTTATATTTTCCTTTAAGATTTATTTATCTAAAAGAGTTGCAGGAAAGAAGAAAGATTTTCTATTTGTCAATTCACACCACAAATAGCCAAAAAAGCACTGCTGGGCCAAGCTGTAGCTATGCTCCCAGAGCTTGCTCTGTTTCCCCCACGTGCTGCAGAGGCCCAGGTGTTGGTTCTGCTGCTGCTTTTTCAGGTATTCAGCAGGGAGCTGGATTGGTAGTGGAGCAGCTGGGACTCAAACCAGCACTCACGTGGGATGCTGGTGTTGTTGGCATGAACTTTATGCACTGTACTACAGCACTGAGCCTTACATTGTTTAAAAATAACTGTGTTAACACTTTTTAATCTGCATACCTATCTCTCCCTGCCCCCCAATACAAAACAAAGCGAAAAACACCATATTGGATTTTGCGACGCTCATTGGAGATTTTATCCCTGTTTGACTAGGTTTGGATGGAACTGCTGAGCAAAGCATCGGTGCAGTATTTGGTAGCAGCTGCTTGTCCGTGGATGGGTGCTTGGCTTTGCTTAATGATGCAGCCTTCTCATTTACCAATTGATTTAAACATGTTACTAGAAGTAAAAGCCAAAGCCAAGGTATGTGTAGCTACATGGTATATTTTTGTGTTCACCTCGTAGTTATTAATGGTGTATTGGAACTGTAAGAATATGTTGGTTGTTGTCTATTACATTTTATTGATTCATATTTAGTTACTGGTTTTTTTCCTCTTCATTCTAGGAAAAAACAGGTGGTAAAGTGCGCCAAGGCCAAAGCCAAAGTAAAGAAGTACTTCAGGAATACATTGCAGGTGCAGACACCATCATGGAAGACCCAGCCACCAGAGATTTTGTGGTCATGCGTGCCAGAATGATGGCAGCCAAGTGAGTATACCCCAAGAATCCACAGAGCCACTCTAAGTGCTCAGGTCATATATTTATCCTTCAAAGGTACTTTTTTGTTTTGTTTTGTTTTGAATTGTTTGCATAATTGAGAGGGCTGCATGCCCATGTGGGTCTCCAGTGAGGATAAGGTGAGTCTAGGTGTGGAAGAAGGTAAGGTGGGTGGAACAGATACTTTCGATTTTTTTCCTGCTGTGTCCACAGGGAGGTGAAGAAGTGAGCCACTCCTTCCTGTCAAATTATATCAGCTCAAGATTCAGGCAATGGTCATTGAGACCTCGATATAGGGAAGATTGTTCCAAAGGTGTTGTTTGAGTAGTTTGATAGTTCTGAGATATTGTCAACCTCATTGCACCAGGGTTAAAAAAACCCTTCCAAGTTCTGTTGGCTGACCTGGTCCACCTTAGTTCATCCCCAGACTCAGGAATGTGTTGTAAAGCTTGGCTAGAAGAGTGGTCCACCTAAACTGCTTTCCATTCTCTGGTAGGCATTTGCCAGCAGGTGTTGCAGCCTGGCTCAGTTCTACCCACCTCTAGTTCCAGTTCTCAGCAGTGGGTACAGCAGCCTAGTCCAGCCTGGCCTGCCCTCAGACCTAGCTCTCATGTGAACCAGTGGGTGCCACGGCCTGGCCTAGCCTGTTCCACATCCATTCTTGCTCTCGAGAGCGCCAGCTGATGCTGGATCCTAGCCCAGTCCGGTCTGCCCCGAAATCTAGTTTGCACACATTTTGATAGATGCTGCAGCCATGTCCAGGCTCAGCTATTGTGCTCTGCAGTGGGAGGTGCAGCTTAGCAAGGGAGTTCTTCAAGTTCTCCTACCAAGCCCAATTCCCAGCCCTAAATCTCTTGCTTGCTGGTGGGTGCCACGGCCCCACTCATGGTATGCCCGCTCCCAGCCCCTGCTCCCGTCACTGTCTGGTGAGTCCCATAGTCCAGCCTGGCTGAGCCTATTGCTACACCAGCTCTCCTCGCAGACTTGCCCGTGCTGTTATCCCACAGAGTCCAACCCACAAGTCCCCTACAGAATCTCTACCTAGATCTGGTTCTGTTCTTGGGAGATCCTGACAGGGCCCACCTCTGCTCTGACACTTGCAGGCAGGTACAGCAGCCTGTCCAAGCCAGGTGTAACCCCCAAGGCCCATGTTTTGTGTGGACCCAAGGGTGGAAAGTGATGGTATGTAGTCTAGCCCAGGTCTCCCATATGGGTGGGTGCCTTAGCCCAACCCAGACATGCCCTCCAGTTTTCCTTCTCTAAAACCACACTGTCTCAGCTCCCTTACCTACTTCCAAATGCAGTGGCCCTGTCCGTGGAATTCTCCAGAAGTCATTCTTTTGCTGTCACCTCCATTCCCATTCCAGAATGTTCCCAGACCTGCTTTTCCATGCAATCTGCAGTCCCGCTGCATGTCCTGGACCGGCGTTCCCCACATATCTTTAAAGCAAAAGAAAAGAAAATAAGAATAAGCAACTTTGCTGGCATACTGGTAAAGTTAACACAAATTTGGCACTCATTTGGCACTCTTCAGGCCCAGAATGCCTGCCAGCTGTTGGCTCCTTTTCTCCCAGGAGAGTAACACTTGCCTAGGGACAAGACAACTGTGGTTTCCAACAGCCGGTGTCAAAGATACATTAATCAAAAGATTCTTCTCTTTGGTCTATCTTTTTATGAAGAATTATGTCTTCTAGAGGAAAGTTTACTGCAAATAGTTTCTGAAGTGAATTTTTTTTTTTCTTATGTAGGTTACTAGGTGCACTTTGTTGCTGTATTTGTGATCCAGGTGTAAATATGGTATCCCAAGAAATTAAACCAGCTGAATCTCTTGGCCAGTTACTACTCTTCCATTTGAATTCCAAATCTGCACTGCAGAGGATTAGTGTTGCTTTGGTAATCTGTGAATGGGCTGCTTTACAGAAGGTAAGATATTTGCTACAAATGAATGCAAGCAATCTCCATTGGATGTTAGCAGTATTTACTTTATGTTTCACAACAGAGAAATACAATTTCTCTTTGTATAAGCATCTAATACTTAAAGACTAGCATTTCAGGCTATATTGAACATTATTTTCCTAACTCCCCACCGTTGTCCCTGAGACCACTAGCAATCTTCATGCCCAGTGTTTCTTCTTGACATCATAGTCTGCTAAGAGATGCCCATGTTAAAATGTGTGTGTGTGTTGAAACAGTCCTGAAACACTTGATCATTCAACACTCTCTGAATTTCCCAGTTTATCACTGAAAACATCAAACAGTAAGGCTTTCAGTTTTAGACATCTGTTTTTATAGGTAGTGGCAAGGGCAGGTGATACATTTTTGGTTATAGGAAGAATAAAATTTTCATATTTAAATAGAATGTTGTGTACATGTTTCTGTACATCAGAAAATCTTCCTGCTGGCCTTGTTTATTCTCCTGACTGGAATTCTAGAAATTTAACTGTCTGCACTTGCTGTGAGAGTTGCTTGTAACTGCCTCTTAGCAGTTTGTCAAAAACTGTGTCTAAAAGTAATTGAGCCACGCTCTGTTGCAGTTGAGACCCCTGCTTTGCCCCCGGAGAGAAGCAAGGCTCATCTGGTTCTAGGCAGGACTCGTGTGTGCTGGAGAGGCAGTGATGCTGTGTTTTTGTGCCTCTCAGACTCAGCAGCAAGTGTTGACAGTTCGGTTTCTGGACCCTCACAGAGCTTCTCTGGACTTACTCTGTGAAGCCCAGGCTGATCAGCCAGACCCCACAGAACCTCTCTTGGCTCGCCACTGAGGCCATTTCCCCTCTGGCTGGGGCAGGCAACAACCAGAGAGAGTGGGAAGGGTTAGTTAAATTTGGGGGCAGGTAAGTGGCTTTTAAGTTCTATATCCATTTCTACAATATGGCATGTGAAACTGTGGGCTAAACTGTGAAGTGTAGTAATGAATTTATAAATAACTTTTATTTAGTGCATGCTAGATGTTCTCTAATGTTACAGTAATATGCATTAAAGTTTGTGCTATAGATCTATATTTGCATATATCTATACTTAATTTGAGTAAAGTTAAGAGCGGTTAGGTAGAAAATTTAGTGAAATTGTAATAGTTCTGTGTGCATGTTTTGTAGTCCTCAAGATGTAGCTTGGGTGTCAGTATCATTTCTCTACAACTAATTGTTTTATGATAAAATGAGACATAGATTCAAAAATCAGATTAGGAATTTGTAATTTAGTAATCTACAATTTAAGATTTCTGTAGAAATAAAGAATTCTGTAGAACTGTATTTGCATATTTACCGTGAATAATTGCTGTCTTATGTTTTAGGAATGTAAAGCAGTTACCCTAGCTGTGCAGCCACGTTTACTTGATATCCTTTCAGAACATTTGTATTATGATGAAATTGCTGTTCCATTCACACGAATGCAGAATGAATGTAAACAGCTAATATCTTCATTAGCTGATGTACATATTGAAGTTGGTAATAGAGTAAACAACAATGTTTTAACAATAGATCAAGCTAATGACCTGGTAAGTAAATACATAATTTTAAAATTTTAGATAGAGTGTGAAATGAACGTCAGAAATTTTGTCATGAGCTGTTTTACCACAAAAAAAATCCTGATTTGTTCTATTAGTAGCCCCCCCCCCCTTTTTTTTTAAGATTTATTTATTTTTATTACCAGTCAGATATATAGAGAGGAGGAGAGACAGAGAGGAAGATCTTCCATGCAATGATTCACTCCCCAAGTGACCGCAATGGCCAGTGCTGAGCCTGTCTGAAGGCTGGAACCGGGAGCTTCATCTTGGTCTCCCACACGGGTGCAGGGTCCCAAAGCTTTGACAGTCCTCAGCTGCTTTCCCAGGCCACAAGCAGGAAGCTGGATGGGAAGTGGAGTTGCCGGGATTAGAACTGGCACCCATGTGGGATCACAGTGTGTGCAAGGTGAGGACTTTTAGCTGCTAGGCCACCACGCCGGGGTCACCCCCCTGCCCCCCACCTTTTTAAGAAGATTTATTTAGTTTTATTGGACAGTCAGATTTACAGAGAGGAGGAGAGACAGGAACTTCTTCCATCTGCTGGTTCAGTCCCCAAGTAGTTGCAACAGTCAGTGCTGAGTCAATCTGAAGCCAGGAGCCAGGAGCTTCTTCCAGGTCTCCCACACAGGTGCAGGGTCCCAAGACTTTGGGCTGTCCTCCACTGCTTTCTCAGGCCACAAGCAGGGAGCTGGATGGGAAGTGGATCAGCCAGGACACCAGCTGGGCGCCCCGCCCAAAAGGGGGGAAGTGTGTTTTGGTTTTTTTTTTTAAACAAGGAGTCAGTTTTTATTTCCTAATTTTTTAAGTTACTATTTTGATAATCTTAACATAGTTGATTAGGGTGCAAATGGTCAAGGGCTGCAGGAAAGTGTGTGAGACCATTGTCTCCCCATTCTCTCTCTGTATCTTCCCCCCCCCCCCCCCCGCCCCGTATCTGGGGTCAGGGGAGAAATAAAGGGAGAAGCCCCACCCAGCCTCCCACCCATCCCAGGTCCCCAGCATGGAGCATGCTCCAGGGCTCCTGCTGAAGTGGTTTTGATAGTTCAACAGTTCTGAATTGCTGCCAGTCTCACATTCCAAGCACGATGAAATCTCTCCAGAATCTACTGGCTGACATAGGCAGAAGGGAATTCTTTTTTAACAGAAATTTTGACAAACGAATGTACTTTTGTTAGAAAAAGCTATTAACATTTGTTTAATGTGTTTATTGATAGAGCTACAGAGAGAGAGAGAGAGAGAGAGAGAGGAAAGAGATCTTCCATGTGCTGATTGCTCCTTAGGGGGTTCCAGCAGCCTACATGACACCAAATTCAAGAACTAGGAGCTTCTTATAGATCTCCCACATAGAGTTAAAAGGCTCCCCAACACTTGAGGCATGGTCTACTGCCTTTCCAAAGCCAGTGTCCGGGAACTGTATCAAATGTGGAGCAACCAGGTTATGACCCAACCCTCAGATAGTGTGCTAACATTGCAGATGGCAGCTTCACCCACTGTGCTACAATTCTGGCCCTAGGAAAAGTTACAACAGTTTGTTTCTTCTCACTGTTTCTTGGGATGGGCAGAATGTGAGGAGAAACAAGTGTAAAATTCAGAAACCGCCCTTTCTCAGTTCAGAATGCAGATATTTAAATGTTTAGAAAGAAGTAGAACTATACCACAAACACTCGTATATTTGGCAACTATATCAATTGTATAATTAGTATATAGTTTGTCAAATAATTATTTTCAGATTTACCCCTTTCTAAGCAACAGTCTGTCTTCTTTTTAGGCATTTTTAATTTCTGATGTTCGTACATGTTAATATGTACATAATTAACTGAAATTCAGTATTTGTGATTTTTTTTTAAGATGTATTTATTTTTTATTGGAAAGTCAGATTTACAGAGTGAAGGAGAGACAGAGAAAGATCTTCCATCTGCTGGTTCACTCCCCAAGTAGCTGCAAAAGTTGGTGTTGAGCCAGCCTGAAGCCAACAGCCAGGAACTTTTTCTGGGTCTCATACATGGGTGCAGGGTCCCAAGGCTTTGGGCTGTCCTGGACCGCTTTCCCAGGCGACAAGCAGGGAGCTGGATGGGAAGTGGAGCAGCCAGGATATGAACTCGTGCTCCTATGGAGTCCTGGCCTGCAAGGTTAGGACTTTGGCTGCTAGGCTACCGTGCCAGGCCCTGAGTTTTTGTTTTTATGGTTGTGTTCTGTAACTTTTCTAAGGAATCTTTTCGTATCTCCAGGTGCGTTTTGTAGAAAGTCATGTAGTTTAATTTTATGTATATATTCAGACTAATGTTTGCCTGTAATATGAAGAGAGAGTCAAGTCTTGTTTTTTGTACAAATATCTTATTTTTCCAGCATTGTGTTTTGAAAAGACATTCTTTAGTTTTGTTGTTGTTGTTGTTTAACCTTGGCCAGAAACCAGCTGAAATACACTCACAAATTTGGGTCTGTTTTGGGGTTGAGTGTGTTCAGCTGGTTTGTTTTTGTTACACCGGCACCACTGCCTTGGGCTTGCTCAGTTCCTGAGGTTAGTTATTCCTGAGGTTTGATACCAGAAATTGAACCAATTTGAGGCTGCTGCCTGCAATTTTGGCATCTCACATGGGCACTGGTTCAAGTCCTGGCTCTGCTGCTTCTGATGTAACTCTGCTGATGCAGCAGGGAAAGCAGCAGAGATGGGCCCCCTGTGCATCCACAGTGGGGATCCGTGCATTCCTGGCTCGCTGATTCAGCTTCCGATGTCAGCCATTTGAGCATTGAGACAGCAGATGGGAGATTCTCCCCTCTTCCTCGCACTCCTTCCCTCTGTAGCTTTGCCTTCCAAACAAATGTTTGTGATGGTCTCTGAGGTGTTTTTTTTTTTAAGTTCTTACCTGTGATAGAAAACTAAAATTGCTACTTTTATGAGTTCTTTTATAAAGTTGATTTTCTAATTATTGCTATTTAGATTTTTCTTACTGCCTCCTTACTCCCTATTTTTGCTCGTCTAGAATCAAATCTCAATTTTTCTTACAGATTTTCTTCTGGGAGTTTTTCTTTCCTTTCTTTTTTTCTTTCTTTCTTTATTTTTATTTCCATATTGTTTCCTTCATGTTTAAAGAGGGGTATTAAGGGAGAAGGCCTACCCAATTTCCCTCCCCAGGTCCCGGATGTAGGGTATGCTCCGAGGTTCTTGCTCCAGAGTTCTTTTTTTTTTTTTTTTTAAAGATTTATTTATTTATTTATTTTTAAAGATTTATGTTTATTATTTTTTTATTGGCAAGGCGGATATACAGAGAGGAGAGACAGAGAGGAAGATCTTCCGTCCGATGATTCACTCCCCAAGTGAGCACAACGGCCGATGCTATGCCGGTCTGAAGCCGGGAACCAGGAACTTCTTCCGGGTCTCCCACGCAGGGTCCCAAGGCTTTGGGCCGTCCTCTACTGCTTTTCCCAGGCCACAAGCAGGAACCTGGATGGGAAGCGGGGTTGCCGGGATTAGAACCGGTGTCCATATGGGATCCCGGGCGTGCAAGGCGAGGACCTTAATCACTGTGCCATCGTGCTGGGCCCCAGAGTTCTTTTTTAAAGCTTGTCATATGGCCTCTTTCTTCAAGATTGTCTTATTTCATGTGTCTTATTCCTTGCTCAGATTACCATTTTGTCATTTGTATAATGTCCAGTGGTTTGGCCTTTGTATAAAAAAATGAACATAAATGGCAGAGAAGTATTTAGGAGGAGAAGATTCAGAGAAAGGCAGTTCTGGAAGGCATCATGGTCCCCCACAGTGGTGCAAGTATCCCAAATACTTGGGCCGTCTGCTGCTGCTTTTCCCAGGCCATTGGTGGGAAGCTGGTTGAACACAGAGCACCTAGGACATGAATCTTTGAAGATTTTTTTAATATTTATTGGAAAGGCACGTTTATAGAGAGAAGACAGCTCTTCCATATGCTGGTTTACTCCCACAAGGACCACAATGGCTGGAGCTGAGCCAATCTGAAGACAGGAGCCAGGAGCTTTTTCCAGTCTCCCACATGGGTTAGGGTCGCAAGGACTTGGCCATCGTCCATTGTTTTCCCAGACCGTAGAGCAGGGAGCTGGATGGAAAGTGGAACATCCAGGACACAAACCTGCACGCATGAGGGATGCTGGCGTTTTCAGCAGAGGATTAGTTAGCTGAGCCATGGTGCTGGTCCTGATTTTCATTTCATTTTTAACAGTTAACTCTCCCTGAAATTCCTGTAACATTTCAGTGTCCACTGAGACTGAAACCTAGCGCCCCAACTCAGCCTCTGTCTGCTTACCTGAGTAGCCCACATGCATGGGTGAGGCGTTAGGCATGAGTTGGATAGGGAGTGAAGCTCTTGGGACTGGAAACAGCACTCTGGTGTTTGATGCTGGCAGACAGCCGGTCAGCCCACCAGAAGTGATACCATCCCTGAGTCTTCTTTTTAAGGTGTTGAAAATGTTTTAAATTTGGTTCGTAACTAATAAACTAAAAAGCTGAATAAACTAAAAGTTGCTCAGTTAAAAAGAATTCAGTTGGCAGCACTCAGTAAATGGCTATCCTAAAGATTGTTGAAGGCAAGAAGAATATTTTCCCAAAAAGAGCTTAGTAAGTTTTTACATTCCTTAATAGAATCTACTTGCTTATAGATTTTTCATTTCACCAAATACTATGTAGATTGTAAGGGTAATTTTCCCTCATGCTAATTAGACACATTGAAAGGAAGATTTATTTCCCAGAAACTGTATTTTTCTTTGAAAAAAAAAAAAGAAATGTAATGCTCATGTTAAATTAGATCAGATTAAAATAATTTAGTTGGGAGATACTAGATTCTTAATTTATTGAGTATTGAACCAGTACTATGTATTGTGCAAGTTAGAATTTAAACTAAAGGCTTATGTTAGCCCTCTAATAGTTTATAGTCTTTTGGGATTCATATAATTAATTCTTAATTTCTTTTTTTTTTTCTCTTCTCTGCCAGGTGACTACTGTTTTTAATGAAGCCACGTCATCTTTCAGTTTGAATCCTCAAGTGTTACAACAGTTAGATAGCAAACGACAGCAAGTCCACATGGCAGTCACGGAGACCAGCCAGGAGTGGCAGGTGCTGCAGTTGAGAGTGCACACTTTCGCTGCATGTGCCGTTGTGAGCTTACAGCAGCTTCCGGAGAAATTGAATCCTATCATAAAACCATTAATGGAGACAATTAAGAAAGAAGAGAATACGCTAGTTCAAAACTATGCAGCTCAGAGCATAGCCAAACTACTTGAGCAGTGCACAACAAGGACACCTTGTCCTAACTCAAAAATCATTAAAAACCTTTGTAGCTCACTTTGTGTGGACCCATATCTAACTCCTTGTGTCACATGTCCGGTACCAACACAGAGTGGTCAGGAAAACTCCAGAGGTTTGTATCTAAAGATTTATTTAGGATAAAGAAAGAATTAAACTTTTGTTTTTCTTTACTTACAGATATAATTTAAGCACTAATCCAGTTCATTTTTTACCCTTCTCCCGTTCTCAGCAAGATATTTTGGTCGTGCCAGAGTTACTTGTTACATGAATTTGCATATATTGTTGATAAATCATAACCCTCTTAAGCTGTTCGAGGCGCCTGGGGAATGATGGCTGAAATCCGTCAGAGTTCATCTCCCCCTCTCCTTACTGTCGGATGGTGCAGCATTAGTTTGTAACAGTCATTATTTTTTAGAATTTATGCTGAGGACCTTGTAGTGAAAACTTGGTTGAAATGTTTTTTTAATACGTATCATGCGTAAGCATACTTTAAAAAAATTTCATACACTTTTAAGTGATGGCAGAATCATTCTTTATTTACCTATTTTGCAACATTGATTGTGTTAGGTGTAAATGCTGTGCATCCAAGATGTTTTGTTACCATGTCATTGTCTGAAGAAAATGCTTATAAAAAGGCCTGAAAAGATAGGTTTCTGATATGTTTCATGTGTTTTTGAGCAGCAAGCATTTGGTTACATATGATTGAAGGGTTAACTCTTTTTCCTTGTTAGGCTCTAACTCAGAAAAAGATGGAATGCACCATACTGTCACAAAGCACAGAGGTATAATTACGCTCTACAGGCATCAGAAAGCTGCCTTTGCCATCACAAGCAGAAGAGGTCCTACCCCCAAAGCAGTGAAAGCTCAAATAGCAGACCTTCCTCCTGGGAGTGGTGGGAACATCCTAATTGAACTTGACGAGGTGAGGAGTTTTCTGTGAATATTTTGATTTTTTAAAACAGGTAAGTGGCTTATAGATTAAGAACTGGGTTATCATGTCAGCTTTCAGAACTGTGTTTTTGCATTTTCTTTTAAAGATTAATTTGTTCATTTGAAAAGCACAGTTACACAGAGGGAGAGATCAGGAGACAAAGCTGTCTTTCATCTGTTGTTTGACTCCTGCAGTGGCCACAATAGCTAGGCCTAGGCCCAGGGCCACCGAAGCCAGGGCTTTTGCGTGTCTCCCACATGGGTGCAGGGGCCCAAGCATTTGGGCCTTCTTTTGCTTTTCTAGGCATGGTGCTAGAATGGAATTGGAGCAACCAAAACTTGAACCAGCGTCAGCCAGTATGGGATGCTGGCACCACAGACAGTGGCTTGACTCAGAAAGCCAGTTGCTGACCCCTGCTTTTGCATTATTTATTTATTTTTCTTGGAAAGTCAGGTTTACATGAGAAGGAGAGATAGAAAGATCTAGTTCACTCCCCCAGTGGTTGCAACAGCCAGAGCTGAGCTGATCAGGAGCTTCTTCTGGGGCTCCCACATGGGTACAGGGTCCCAAGGGTTTGGGCCATCCTCGACTGCTTTCCCAGGCCACAAGCAGGGAGCTGGATGGGAAGTGGAGCACACAAGATATGAACCCGGTGCCCTTACGGAATCCTGGCGCATACATGGTGAAGACTTAGCCACTAGGCTGCCATGCTGGCTCTGCCTTTGCAGTTTTTAAGCGAAGGGACAGGGTTTAATGACCTTTTGGAACAACATAATGAAGACAGCAAATTTCTACAAATTTCTCATGCCTCTTGTAATTTTTACTGCCTTTGCTGTTTTAGGAAAAAATCTTTGTTGATGATAGGTACATACGCTACTCATTAAACCAGTTGACTCCTTTGTCGTTTCCTTCAGAGAAGATACTAAATAACAGTGAATTTTGTGGTGTTCTATTCCTCTGTGTTCTACAGTAAAAGCTTCTTTTTAAAGACAAGTAATAACCAGTGATAAAAAGCAGGGTGATGGTCTGATTATTGTCAGTCACATCAGTAACAGTGGAATGAAAATTCTAACTTGTTTTTTTGGGTTTTTAAAAGATCTGGTTTTTGAAAAGTGAACATATATCTTGCCCCCAAAATATATGCAGCTCATGTATTTGGGGTAGGAATGGAGGAACAGTTTGGATTGTAATTATTGCTGAATAAGTTATGATTTTATGTAGGTACTGTTATTCTATTCTCTAGTTTTTAAACTTGAACATTAAAATTTAGGAATTTTACAATCATGTAAATGTAATCATTGGAAGGTGTTTTGAATTGTCTTAATTATGACTAACACTCTGGGTCCCACAGATGATGACTTGCATTCTGTTAGTAAATTTTATTTTAAAGATTACTTATTGGGAGGTAGAGTGAACGGCACTGGTTCATTTTCCAAATGGCCACCACAGTCACATCTAGTGGAATGAAACCAAGTGCCAGCATTCCTTTCTGGTCTTCCACATGGGATGCTGGGGCCCAAGTTCTTGGTCCACTCTGCACTGTTAATCTGATATGGGATTGCCAGCATTGTAAGTTGAGGTTTGCTCTTTTTAACGAACATTCAATTTCAGGCGCAGAAGCCTTACCTAGTACAACGAAGAGGAGCTGAATTTGCCTTGACAACTATTGTGAAGCATTTTGGTGGTGAGATGGCAAAGAAGTTGCCACATCTTTGGGATGCCATGATTGGTCCATTGAGGAATATGATTGACATAAATAATTTTGGTATGTGCATATTTTTCTAAATCTGACTTTTAATAAATCTAAGTGATAAGTAAATGGAATGTATCAGTTTAAAGTAAAAATGTCTGTACCTTTTTATCCCAAACCAGCAGGTAAGTTTTAAGTGAGAGATTGGTAAAACATTTATTCTATTTTTAATTTCCTTTCATGTCATTCTGCATACATTTTTCTTTTGTTTTTTTCAATAACATGTTTAAACAGATACTTGGAATGGATAATTTTTAAAACTACTTCGGTTGTATTCAGAACAGTATTCCATACTTTTCTTAAGGTCATGGCATTTAATTTTAATGTGAAAATGCAAAAGGTTTTTGGACTCTCAATTTTGAGTTTTAAGTTAAGCTGAGATTGAGATGTAATATATTTTAACAGACGGCAAGTCCCTTCTGGAAAGGGGAGATGGCCCTGCTCAAGAACTGGTGAATTCTCTGCAGGTTTTTGAGATAGCAGCAGCTTCAATGGATTCTGAGCTTCATCCCATGGTAACTAACTAATGAAAATGTAATAATTCTTCAAGTAAAAATGTAATAATTCTTCAAGTAAAACAGATGGCCAGCCACAGTTTTGATGTTCTCTCTAGTAATTACAGTTTTCTTTGATATGGTAAAGGTGTATTCTTTTACTGTCAAGACAACTCTTGGCTTTGTAAGCTGCGTATATGAATGGTGGAATACCAAAGCTGGAATCTTAGAGAATGGAGAAGAATTAGAATTGGGGAAAGGACTATGATAATACAAGAGTCAGTTGGAAACAGAAGGGATAGCTGTTCATTCTGATCTTTCTGATAATATAGCACTAGGAAGAAAGAGTACAGTAAAACCTGTTTCCACATGACTGTAAAGGTGGAAGTTCCAGATGTCTAAGAAGAGTGCCTGAGAATGAAGTTCTGCATCTTTCTTTTTCAAAGAGTTGTTGCTTACTTTGAATTTAGATTAATTTTTTTAAAGATTTCTTTATTTATTTATTGAAAAGGCATAGTTCCAGAGAGGCAGAGAGATCTGTCTGCTGGTTTACTCCCTAAATGGCTGCAACAGGCAGGACTAGACGAGTCTTGAGGACAGGAGCTAGGAACATTTTTTTGGTATCGCGTTTCAGTGCAAAGGTCCAGGTACTTGGGCCGTGTTTTGCTGCTTTCCCAGGCACAGTAGTAGGGAGCTGGATCAGAAGTGGAGCAGCTGGAACTTGAACCGGTAGTTGCACGGGATGCCAGTGCTACAGGTGGAAGCTTTATTCACTAGGCCACAGTGTTGGCTACTAATTTGACTTTCTACATTGGATGTTTTGATGGTAATTTTAAGATATTTTAGTACATTTTTGAATTTAGAGTCACTTGGAATATTGAGGACTTGTCAGAATATGGACTGTTACTATGTTTTAAAGAGTAGATTGTCTGATAAGAGTATTCTGATTGCCTGTGTCTTTTGTTTTTTAGTTGGTACAGCATTTGCCTCATCTTTATATGTGCCTTCAATACCCCAGCACTGCAGTGAGACACATGGCTGCTCGTTGTGTTGGTGTCATGAGCAAAATAGCTACCATGGAAACAATGAATATTTTTTTGGAGAAGGTTCTTCCATGGCTTGGAGCGATTGATGACAATGTCAAACAAGAGGGTGCAATTGAAGCACTTGCCTGTATCCTTTTTATTTTAACAGACTATTCAGAAATTGCAGATATTGTTCTTTGGGGTGGTTAAAATAGAATTAATTTATTCAAATATTTACCTAAATAATATGCCTTGTTCTTCCCCCAAAAGCCACTTTTTATATTTTATTTTGAAGTAGTTTTAGATTTCATTGCAAACTAATATATTCATTCGAAAGTCAGAGTTATGGGGACAGGCCAAGGAGAGATAGGCAGATCTTCCACCCACTGACCCACTCCTCAGATGGCCACATTAGCTAGGGCTGGGCCAGGCTGAGCCAGCAGCTTCTTCCAGTCTGCCATATGTGTGTTGGAGCACAGGTACCTGGTGCATCCTTTGCTGCTTTTCCAGGTGTATTAACAGAGGGCTAAATCGCAGGTAGAACAGCCAGTCCCAAACCAGAACCTATAAAGGATGTTGGCTTTGCATGAGCTGCCCTTTCCCACCATCGACAGTGCTAGCCCCAAAACATTTAAATTTTTTAAATGTGTTTATTTGAGCCAGATAGAATTCCCGTTTGCTGACCTACTCACCAAATGCACCTCATGGACTTGTGGCTGGACCTAGGAACTCCGATTGTAGTATAGGACACCCATATAGTTGGCAGGAACCCAGTTAGTTGAGTGACTGCTGCTGTGTCCAGGCTTTTGCAGTAGCAGGAAGCTAGAGTCAAGTGTTGGTAGTCAAACCTGAGTGTACCAGTATGCTGGCTGGCGTCTTAACCACTAATTTAAATGCTGTCCCATGACGTATTTTTACATTTTGCTTTTTAAATTTATTTTATTGTGTTGGAAATGTGCAGGAACAGAGTGAGTGCTCCTATCTGCTGGTTCACAATCCAGATATCCTCAGATGACCAGGGATAGATCTGCCCAAATGCAGGAGGCTGGAATTTAGGCCGTCTTCCACATGAGTGGCAATAACGCAAGTACCTAAGCTGCCTTCTGGAGTGTGCATTAGGAGGAGGCAAAAACCAGGAGCAGAACTAGGATTCAAACCCAAGTACCCTAATATGGGATATAGGCATCCCATGTGACAGCGTAGCTGTTTTGTCAAATGCCTACAATCAAGACAGCTTTTTAATAGACAAACTAGTTTTATGTCATTTATTGTTATGAATCAAGTAGTGTTAGGTATTCTGTATTTTAGACATTACATTCTAAGTACTTTTCTTTTTTAAGGTGTATTTATCTATTTGTTATTGGAAAGTCAGATTTATAGAGAGAAGGAGACACAGAGAGGAAGACCTTCCATCCACTGTTTCACTCCCCAAGTAGCTGCAATGGCCAAGAGCTGATTTGATCCAAAGCCAGGATCCAGGAACCTCAAACCTCCTCCAGGTCTCGCACGTGGGTGCAGCGTCCCAAGGCTTTGGGCCGTCCTCGACTACTTTCCCAGACCACAAGCAGGGAGCTAGATGTGAAGTGGAGCAGCTGGGACATGAACTGGAGCCCACGTGGGATCCCAGCATATGCAAGGAGAGGACTTTAGCCACAAGGCTGTTGTGCTGGACCCCTGATAAAATGACAAGAATGTCTAAATAATAAATACATAGGCAGGGTGCTTTGGTAAGGGTATAGTCATGCCAACAATCTTAAACTCAAGATATCTGAGAGGTGTTTAAAGACCAAGAGAGATGGTTGGAGATCAAGCCAGTAGAAACGGATTGAAGAAGCTGAAGTTTCCTGGAGGAGTGTGCTTTGTTAGGGTCACTGTATCCAGTTGGTATTTGTCAGGAAATAAAAACAGGGAGGGGAAAAAAAACTGGTGGCAAATTTGGAACAAATCTTTGTGTGATAGCTTTGCTACCTTACTCAACATGACTCACTTGGTTTTGATGTTAGAATTCTAGAAAATTGTCCGAATTACTTTATTAAAATCTTGTTTGTAAGCCTTCCCTCCAGTCTTCTTCAGACAAATACAATTTTTAAAAAGTTTTTAATCATGAGAAAGTTACGTAATATTTTCACTGAGACAGCAGAAAGTAAATGCTATTATAATTGTATCGTTGGCCTTGAGGGGCTGCCAGGCAGTGTGTTCCTTTGTGGTAGAGAACTTAAAAGTTGGTAGCTACTTTTGTGAAAACATCAGCTCCAGATGGTTTTGAAGTCTCCTTCATCACTCACTCAGGTGTAATGGAGCAGCTGGACGTTGGCATTGTGCCATATATTGTCCTTTTAGTGGTGCCCGTCTTAGGAAGAATGAGTGATCAGACGGACAGCGTGAGATTCATGGCGACACAGTGCTTCGCAACGCTCATCAGACTCATGCCACTTGAGGTAAGGGGGGTCGTGGCTTGTGGAGTATGCTTTCTGTATGCATCCTTAATATTTGCAATCCTGTTAAAAACATGTCAGACCAGAAACAGATAACTGTTTTGAAATGTTAATATTATAAGCTGCAGTAAGACTTAACAATTTAATACTTTTTTTTTTCTTTTAACCTAGTATTTTGTAAAGAAAAACAAGAAATCAGATACTAGTTTCTAAAAGAATGATTATTTGTAAATACTTTTCTAGAAATAAAACGCGTTGTTTCTCTGGACTCAAGTTTAGATGAACAGGAAATTTGAAAAACAGTTACTAAAACTATGAAAAGGAAGTGAAGTTTCTTGGGAGTATGGAACAAAACATTGAGGCTAACATGCGAGCATTTGGAAGTACATTCGCTAGGCAGAAATACCATGTGTGCCAGGGCAGGCAACAGGTGTATAAGTAAGGGATGAGCCAGGAGCATCCTACACACAGTGTTTGGATGGGATTTCTGTAATTGTGGAAATTGTTATACATATTATTCATTCTGCAGCTTGTCTTGCTTATTTACATATATTACATGCATCGTCTTGTATGAACTTGGAACATTTCGTTTGTCATTTACCAACAATATACCCTACTATTTACTGGCTTTCAATGCTTATAAGTAATTGTTATGAGTATGTACATCTCAAAGTGTTTGTATGGATATATACTTTGTTTTCTTTTGAGTAACAAAGTACTCAAAGTACCAAGGTATTAAATTGCTGGATTGTGTATTTATCTTTTAAGAAACAGTTCTTCAAATTAGCTGCAAAATTTTATATTCTTACCATTAAAGTATGGTTAGAAGCTGGATGGATTTTTTAAAGGAAAAAAAAAAGTTGGTTAATATCTGATAAAGTTGAAGAGACTCATTCCAAAAATGACCTACCAAGTCCTTTCTACATATTTACCATAACATATATTCAACCTGTGCACCAACACACAGTTTTGGGAGCATAACAGTATTATTTATAACAGTCTATTGGGATCCTCCCAACTCTTCTTGAAACAGATATGTAAATTGTGGAGTCTTATTTTGGAATAAAAGCAAGCCGACAGCATAGAAAACAGTATCAGTGACTCTGTAAGAGGAGTCCGTGTTTGTGAAGTTCATGACCGGGTATAGGAAAGTGGGATGCCATCATGGTGAGGAGTCGTGTGTTCACCTCCTGACCAAGGCGGAGGAGGTGATGATTAGGAAGGAGCGGACGGGGTCTTCTGGGCTGGTGCTGCAGTTCGGGTTGCCGCTAGATTTGGTATTCAGGTGGCTGTTTGATAAACCATTCAACCACGTCACTGTGTGTTTGCTTTAATTATACCTAAAATTACTCGATGAATCTGAGCATGACAAATTTTGAATCAGTAGCTTTAATGCACACTTAAAAATCATTTTAGGCTGGCATTCCAGACCCTCCAAATATGTCCGAAGAGTTAATCCAATTGAAAGCGAAAGAGCGACACTTTTTGGAGCAGTTGTTAGATGGGAAAAAGCTAGAAAATTATAAAATTCCAGTACCAATCAATGCTGAACTCAGAAAATATCAGCAGGTAAATTTTATATTTATCTTGTAAACATGAATAGTGATTTGTTTTTCCAATGTACTTGGCAAAGGTGTAAAAATTGGTTTAGTACAATGTTTTGTTCAGTATCTCAGGACCGTTTGTTTCTCTTTTGCTTGGATAAAGGTTTGCGGGGGGGAGAGGGGGGGCCTGGCATCACGACTCCGCAGGTTAAGCCTCCGTGTGTAACATCAGCAGCCAGAACACTGATTGTATTTCCGGCTGCTCGTTACAGTCCAGCTTCCTGATGATACACCTGGTCCCCAGCATGGAATTTCTGGCTCCTGGCTTTTCACCTGGTCCATAGCAGGGGAGAGAATCTGTGAACAGAACACCTCTTGTCTGTCCCCCTCCCTTTCCCTGCCCCTTGCCTTCTTTCTTTTGTTTCCTTTTTAGATGAATGAATAAGTGGTTTGTTTTTAAGTTCTTGGTCTGTACAAACTTTAAAGATTTATTTTTGTGAAAGGCAGACTTACACAGAGAGAGCTTCCATCCCACTTTTTTCTCCATAAATGGCTGCCGACAGCCCAGATCTTAGGCAGGTGAACACCAGGAGCCAGGAACTCCAATCTGGTCTCCTACAAAAGCGGCAGGGACCCAAATATGTATGCCATCTTGTCCTGCATGCCCAGGCACCTGCGCAGCAAGCCGCATCAGAAGGGGAATGCCCAGGACTCTGGTTCGGGGAAGCAGCAGTGTAAACCTCGTGTGCCTCTCTTCCAGCCTCTGTGTGAACAGCCTTTTTATATTCCTTTTATTTCTATGATCTGTTAACGTTTGAAATTTTTCCTTTTATACTTTAGGACGGTGTGAACTGGTTAGCATTTCTGAATAAATACAAGCTTCATGGAATTCTGTGCGATGACATGGGCTTAGGGAAGACTTTGCAGTCCATCTGCATCCTAGCGGGAGATCATTGTCACAGGTAACTTAAAATGGGATTTTAAAATAAGGTTTCCAGAGTCTGTTCAAGTAAGCGTGGTGGTTACTTTACTGTATTTTCCGTTATACAGGGCCCAGGAATATGCGAGATCAAAATTGGCAGAATGTATGCCGCTTCCTTCCTTAGTGGTATGTCCTCCAACACTAACAGGTCACTGGGTGGATGAAGTAGGTAAATTTTGCTCTAGAGAATATTTGAATCCATTGCATTATACCGGACCTCCTACAGAAAGAATAAGGTAAGCACTGTAAAACAAAACAAAAAAAAAACCTTTCATTTTATTAATTATTTTTATTGAAACATAAGATACAGAGAGGAGGATCTTCTGTCTGATGATTCACTCCCCAAGTGGCTGCAAAAGCCAGTGCTGAGCCAACGCGAAGCCAAGAACCAGGAGCCTCTTTGGGGTCTCCCACACGGGTGCAGGGTTCCAAGGCCTTGGGCGATCCTCAGCTGCTTTCTCAGGCCACAAGCAGGGGAGCTGGGTGGGAAGTGGGGCCACTGAGATTAGAACTGGTGGGATCCCAGCATCTGCAAGGCAAAGATCTTAGCCACTACGCTACCACACTGCCCCCACCCCCTGAAAAAAAAAGTTTTAGTTTTTAAGTACTTCCAGTTATTTTGGTTGTAAGACATAGAAAATAGAAAATTGATTCAGCACACATTCACAGTGAAACTCATCGAGTTCAGGTATGTAAGCATGATGTGTCCAGTTGATCTTTTTGACTACTGAAACGTGAAACTGTCAAGCCTGGGCTCATTCTGTATGTCCCTTTGTGCGGACTTGTGACCATGCTGTGGTTTTCATTCTCCACTCCTTCCCTGAGTGTCCTTTCTGCTTTGCTCCCGCCTCACTCTGTCTCCTCCAAGATGTACTTGGTTCACATTGGCAATATTAAAGCTCTTTTTTCTTTCTTTTGTTCCTGTTTACATTTGCAAGAATAGAGGCCCATTTTAGTTCTGTTTTTTTGTGTTTTAAAGAAGAATCTGGATTCTAACAAGTTGTTTTATTATTATTTATTTGAGAGAGACCTCGCATTGACAGAGCTCACCCCCCCGCTGCCTGCAATAGCCGGGACTGGGCTGGGGCTGGGCCGGGGAGTCGGTCAATCCACCATGTGCTCTCGGAGGAATCCAGTTCTTAGGGGATGCCGTCGTGTGCTACTGCTACGTGAAGCTGCACTTGAACACAGGGCTGGAATTGGGAGGGGAGCCAGGATGGGAGCTGGCACGTTGATACGGGATGTAACATCTTAACTGGGGTCTGAACTGCTCAACCCTCAGCCACGGGTCCACACTTAAGGTCTTTTTTTTTCCCCCTCTGGAGGGGTAGTAGAGGGAAATCAGATTCTTAAAAGAAGGTCTTCCATTTGCTAGTTCACTCTCCAGTGCAGTGGCCAGAGTTTAACTTACCTGAAACTGGTAGCCAGGAGCCTTTTCAGTCTCCCACATGGGTGCAGGGGCTCAAACACTTGGGTCATCCTCCACTGTCTTGCCATGCCACAGCAGGGAGCTGAATTGGAAGTGAAACAGATGGGACATGAACCAGCACCCATAAGGGATGCAGGTGAGGGATTAGCCCACTACGCCACTGGCCAACCCCCCCCCCCCCCTTTAAACTTGGTGAGTGACAGGTTGCAGATGTCTATAAATTTACTGCTTCCCTTTTTTTCATTTCTATTTTTTTTTTTTTTTTTTTGCTGCAAAGTCAGATATATACAGAGGAGGAGAGACAGAGAGGAAGATCTTTTGTCCTATGGTTCACTCACCAATGACTGCAATGGCCAGAGCTGTGCTGATCCCAAGCCAGGAGCTTCTTCCAGGTCTCCCATGTGGGTGCAGGGTCCCAAGGCCTTGGGCCATCCTTGACTGCTTTCCCAGACCACAAGCAGGGAGCTGGACAGGAAGCGGGGCTGCCAGGATTAGGACTGGTGCCCATATGGGATCCCGCCGTGTTCAGGGCAAGGACTTTAACCACTAAGCTACTGCATCAGCCCTCTCTTCTTTTTCAAGATTTATTTATCTGAAAGGCAGAGTTAGAGGAGAGACCAAGCGATGTTTTATACACTGATTCTTTCCCCCCAAAAAGCCACATAGCCAGTTACACCAGGCTGAAATCAGGATCTGCTGCATCTCCCACATGGGTGCAGAGGCTCAGGGGCTTGGGCTATGTTCTGCTGCTTTCCCAGGTGTTTACTTGTGGGATGCTGGCACTATAAGCTGTTGATTAACCTGTGGTGCCCCACTGCCGACCCCTGTGAATCAAATGGTGCTATAAAATTTTTAGCTTTATTATTAGAGCACTTGCTAGCTAAAAACTAGCTAAGCAGTTTGACATTTATGTAAGATTATGTATTTTGAGGTAAGTGTTACAGTGCAGAGTGCCTGTATTTAAGTCCTGCTTCAGTTCCCGTTCCGGTCCCTATAGCGTGAACTCAGAGGTGGTGGATGACGGCTCAGGTCTGTGGGTCCTGCCAGCTGCTGGGGAAGCTGGCTCCCACCTGACCCAGCCCAGCTCCTGTTGACACTTGGGCAGGGAGCTAGCAGATGGACGTGTGCATGCCCTCACTTGCTGGCTGTTGTTCTGGCTTTCAAAGAAGTAAGGAAAGAAAGAAACTTCAGAAAATCTATGGATCCTCTTAGTCAAAATGTTGAAGTGTACCTTTGTTTAAATTTGAAGTTATGGAATCTTAAGACTTGGGGCTTGAAGTCCAAAGGCAGTTAGCTTAGAAGGCGGGGTGTAGATCTGAATACAGGCAGATAATGCAATTATATTCTTAACCAGTTTATTGGGTTCTTTTGTTAGAATTGATTCATAAGTGATAGAAATTCAGCTGAGTAGCTTCAGCAAATATAAAATTTACAGACTTGAGAATTTCAGGGCTGACATTTTGATTCAGCACATCTGAAGAACTCTTGCTTTGGTATTCCTGTCGTTTGCTCTTCTTCCTCATACATAGCTGATTGGCCCCAGCTGGCTCTCAGGCTGTGGTTTGTGGATGCGATGACCGTAGTTAACCCTGCGTTCTCACTTGGTGGATAGATCAGTACAAGACCTGACTGGCTTGTTCAGGACACACCCCTGAACCGTTAGTCTCTGCTAAGGGCGTAAGATACTGTGACTGCTAAAGCTGGATTAAATGTTCTATGTCACTGGAGATTGTGGAAACACGTGACTATTCTGCCTTTGAAACTGGGCTCAAAAACTTTGTAGAGTTCCTTTTTCCTAATTTCATCTTTATTTTTTAAATAAAGGTTACAGCATCAAGTAAAAAAGCACAATCTGATAGTGGCTTCTTATGATGTTGTGAGGAATGACATAGATTTCTTTAGGTAAGAACTGAAACTTTTTATTTTAGAAAAATTAAGTTTCAAAATTCAAGATTTTACCTGTTTCAGAAATTCCTTGCATAGTTTGTAACAGTGAAGATGCTAAATTTTTTCTTTATTCTTCCCTAGAAATATTAAATTTAACTACTGCATTCTTGATGAAGGCCATGTCATCAAAAATGGAAAAACAAAATTATCAAAAGCAGTAAAACAGTTGACTGCTAATTACAGGATTATTCTGTCTGGAACACCAATCCAGGTAATTTTTTTTTTTTAACAAAAGTATTTGTCAAGTAGGCTTGGAATTTGGCAGTTAATTAATGGAAGTATTTTGGGGGGGATTAGTCTGGCTTGGTTTTTGTTTTTAGGGATAATTTTTCAATATTGCATTTATAATAATTCCTCTGGTATGTAGCAGTATAAATAGAAGTCTTGTGCCCAAAGTTGAAGGATGTTAAGTAAGCTTCTACTCCAGTTGGCAGTTCAATGTGTCTGTAGTGCTGTGCACAGTCCGATTCAGTATGCAAATGCAGGAACTGGTCAGTGATGAGTCAGCATGTAGTGGTGGTACACATAACCCTCAGGAGTTAAGGGAAGCGATTACATGGCTCAGAAAAACATGGGGGGTATTTAGTTCTTAGTGTATTCTTTTATATTTATTTGTGGTAATAGGATTATCTAAGGGTTAGAGCTTAAAGTTCGTTGTTTTTAAAGTACATTTAAAGAGGGAAAAAAGACTAGGCCTGAATTACCAAGACTTGCTTTATAGTCTTACATGGGGTGCAGGCAGTGTGGCACACAGCAGGTTAAGGCAGATTGGGGTGCCTGCAGCCTGTACTGCTGTGCCTGGGCTGGGTTTCCACTCGTCAGCTTCTGCTCCGCCTCGTGCTTGTGTTCCTGGGACACAGAGCTCGGCAGGTTTCTCTTTCTGTTTTTCTCTCTTCCTTCCTGTTCCTCTCTACTTACCCCTCCCCGCCACACACACAGCCTTTCAAATAAGTAAATCTTTAAAAAACAATATTTAGAAGCCAGTCCAATGGCATAGTCAGCTAAGCTTCCACCTGCAGCATCAGCATCTCATATGGGGGCCGGTTTGAGTCCTGTCGTGCTACTTCCAACCCAGCTCCCTGCATATGTCCTGGAAAAGCAGAGAACAGTTCAAGTCCTTGGGTCCCTGTACTCAAACATAGGAGGCCTAGGAAAAACTCCTGGTTTCAGATTGGCTCACCTCCAGCCATTGTAGCCATGTTGGGGGACTGAGCAGTGGATGGAGGATCTCTCTCTTTCCTTCTCTCTGTAACTGTCTTTTAAAAAGAAAATAAATGGTGTTTAAAGAAAAGTATATAATGGAAAGAAAAGTTTGGGGATTTCTGTTTAAAGGCCCCCTTTTTCTCCTCTTCCACCTGAACAATTTAGCTCTGAAGCTGAAAAGTGGGTTTCTGCAGTCAGAGTTCTGGTGGCCTACAGCAAGGGCAGAGCCAGACATGGATTAGGAGAGTGTCCAAGTGGCAGGGTGTCATGGTCAGTATCCTGCACAGGGTGAGGGGGGCTTCCAGGAGGGAGGAGCCACATGTATTGGACAAGCATCCAAAATGCTTAACTTCTTTTTTTTCCTTCCTCCATGACTCTTCAACAGAATTGGAAATAACTCAATTTTTCCTTGTGACCCATAAATGCCAAATGGATCTGTCTTACAACTAAAGTCCTGCAGGTTTCCTTTATTGAAATTATAATACTAGCCAAATTTCTGGAATGTTGCTGTTAATGAGTATCAATGATATATTAAAAGACTCAGAAACTTAATCCTCTCTCTACACTTCTATTCACCACTTCATAGATGCCAACAGTAGAAAATAAACACTTGGACCAAGGCCTATTCTGGTGGAGGAGACTAGAGGATTTCCCCCAAACAGGATATAATTTCTTCAAGGATACTGATCTGAATTTTACACATTAAACTAAGAGACTTAATGGCCTTTACCTGAAAATGTGATAATCTCTCATCTCTGTCATAATGGTTTTTCATAATTTTACATTTTTTAAGTATAAAGAAATAATCTCAGTACAAAAGAAGATAATTGATGTTCCTTTTTCATATTCAGAACAATGTTTTGGAGCTGTGGTCATTATTTGATTTCCTCATGCCAGGATTTTTGGGTACTGAACGCCAGTTTGCTGCTCGATATGGTAAACCTATATTAGCAAGTAGGGATGCTCGAAGCTCCAGTCGAGAACAAGAAGCAGGTATGAAAAAAATCTAATTCTGAGGCCTGTGCATGTTGAGTGTCATGTATTTCTAACTTTTCTGAAGCAATATTTTTTATGATAAACAGGTGTTCTTGCAATGGATGCACTGCACCGCCAAGTACTTCCATTTCTTTTAAGAAGAATGAAAGAAGATGTTTTACAGGATCTTCCACCTAAAATTATTCAAGACTATTACTGCACACTCAGTCCTCTCCAGGTTAGAATTCTGGTGTTTGGTTATCTGTGGGACCTGTACTGACACCGTGTTTTTATATAAGCCACTAAAATTCTCGCTTCTACTTTCCCAATCTTTTTATTTTTAAATATTTACTTATTTTCTTTGGAAAGGCAGATATACAGAGAGGAGGAGAGACAGAGAGGAATACTTTCCCAGTCTTTGTGGAGTATTCTGTCCAAACAGATACAGGGGAGACCAGTTTGTTTAGCCATGTGAATGAGTTTACATGCATGTTTTGAGTATGGTATTAATATAAAATTCAGTATTATAGTTGCTTTCTTACAGTTAATTTAATGTAGTTAATTCGAAAGGTGGCAAGGTTAAATTGATGAGGAAATACGGTGTCGTCTCTTGACCCTGCGGAACACTTCCCAGTGCCCTTGTACATGGTCCACATTGTAGGCAGCACTGAATTTCTTATGTATACTGTGTTTTGCTATTTGTGAATGTTAGTGACCTCAACATTTTTTTTTCTTTCCTTTCTGAGAACTTTTCCTTTTCACTTAAAAAATAGCACTTATGACACGGTTTCTTTTTGATGTTTCCAAATTGCTAAGAACACTACCCTGGTGTTTTTAAGTCACTTTAAAATGAGATGAGCACTAGCACCATGATGGAGCAGCAGCCCGTCTGATAACTAACACAGCTGCCAGGTGACTAAACAGCACAGATGGGCTGGCCATGGATGGGTCACATCACAGGCGGTGATGCACAATTTAAAATTCAACACGTAGTCATTTCTGAAATTTTTCAACATTATTTTGATCATGAATAGTTGAAGTCATGGGAAGTAAAACTAAGGATAAGAGGGGGACTCCAGTGTAAGCCCATGCTTATTGAGACCAAATGTCTACCTGGAAACGTGACCTTCTCAGAACAGCATTCACAGACTGGTAACCCTTCCTTTTGCAAATAAGGAAAGCAGAGTTCAGAAAATATCAATATATTGCCCACAGTCATAGAGCTACAGATCAAGGTAGAATTTCTTTTCTTTTTGATTTACTTTGAAAGAGTTAGAGAAGGGGAGAGACAGAAAGATCCTTCATCTACTGGTTCATTCCTCAAATGGCTGCAATGGGCAGAGGTGAGACAATCTTAAAAGCTGGGCGCCATCTGCTTTTTCCAGGTCTCCCACATGGGTGCAGGGACTCAACCCATTATTAGGAAGGTGGATCAGAATTGCAGCAGCCAGGACTTGAGCTGGTGCCCGTACGGGATGCTGGTACTTCAGGTGGAGGAAACCCCACTGCACTGGCCCCCAGGATAGAATTTCAAATCATGCTCTGTGGGATCTCATCCTTTTTGAACTATTGTGTTGTCTGTAACCATTCAAAATAAATGTTGCCAACTGTAGAGTTCTGATTTTGTACAGAGACAGCTATTAAAGGCATTTATTGTGAGCTTTTCTTTGTAATTTAAGGACATAAGTTGAAATTACCCCTTGTCTTAATCAGACATGAACTGTTAAGTCAGAATTCTCTGAAAGACTGTACTGTAGGTTAGTGTGTCTCACTGTGCTTCAACATTAGGAATTGATTTTATGTATAGTCCTAGGAACTAGGGACACAGACATCCCCAGAAACTTGTCTTTCCCTCTCCAGCTGAATTTGGGTTTAGTGGCTGTTTACACTGGCCTGGAGGCACAGAGCTTTGTGATTCTTCTGTAATGTCCATCTCAGTGCTCTGGTCCCCTATCACTTCACTGGCTGAAAGTAGGTTAGTAGTTCTTGAAAGGCATGCTAAAGGGAAATTTTATTTTATACTTTAAAGATGCCATATAAGAAACAGCTACCCTGACACCCTGGAATAACACATTTAAGTAATGTACAGGAAGGGATCTCTAGAGGTTTTACCATACGCAGGCCCTCATTCTCTAGTTTTATTCTTTAGTTGTTTAGACTTTCTCCTGACTTACATTATTAGCACATACAGGGCAGAAACCCGGACTTCAAGTAAATATGATGAATTCTAACTTTAGGGTTAACATTTAGGGTAACATTATTCAAAAATTGGATGTCTTGGAATATATTTAAGTAGGTGTAACTGTGTCACTCCAAATAAGGAGAATTGTCCTCATTAAATCTGTAAGCATTTAGGTCATTTTTTGGTAAGACGTTTTTGTGAAACAGGGTGGGCGGGGTTGAGGTGCTGTGTGACCAGTATGTTAACAAGCAGTGGGTCCTGTGATGGTTATTTTCTAAATGAAATGGAGTGGAATGTTAGAGAAGCTTACCAAAATGGGAAGGGTAAGCTGTAGTATCAGTAGTGAATTATTCATACTTTTTTCCCCCTTCATTAATAAGAAGAGTTTGAGTTGCTGCCCTTGCTGGCCTCTCCTAGTGGTCTGCTTTGTGTGCCGTAAGTATACTCACTGTGTTTATGCGCCTGGTTTTACAGATTCAGCTCTATGAAGATTTTGCCAAGTCTCGTGCCAAGTGTGATGTTGATGAGACAGTTTCTTCTGCTACACTTTCTGATGAAACTGAAAAGCCAAAGCTTAAAGCTACAGGCCATGTTTTTCAGGTATGGATTATAATTTTATCATGATATTCAAGTAAATTCTGAATATTCTTCAGTGGGGCTCTCTATATAGAAGATCAAACTGTGGCTTTAATTTTTTAAATACTGTATGTATATGAAAATAGAGTACTTATTTAATGTTAATTCTTTAGAAATTAACATTCTTTAAGTATACAAAATGTGATGTGTCAGCTGCAAGGTTAATTAAAGCAGTGACCGGGATACAGACTTTCCTTTCTGGGGGATAAGTAAGTAAACCTATCTCCCAGATACATTGGCGGGCTGCTGGATCAGAGGTGGAGCAGCCAGGCCTTGAGCCGTATGGAACTCCCACTCTACTGCAGTGCCCGCATTGCGGCTGGTGGCCTCACTCTGTGCCACAGTGCACGCAGTCTCAAAGGATTTCAGTTGGTTTTGTTTTTCTTCATCGTAAAATGAACTCTTTGAGCAGAGCATTGCTGTGCAATGGTTTAAACTTATCTTGGGGGCCCAGCGCAATAGTGTAATGGTTAAGGTCCTCGCCTTGAATGCACCATATGGGCGCCAGTTCTAATCCCGGTAGCTCCACTTCCCATCCAGCTCCCTGCTTGTGACCTGGGAAATTAGTCAAGGACAGCCCAAAGCCTTGGGACCCTGCGCCTGTGTGGGAGACCCGTAAAGAAGTCCCTGGCTCCTAGCTTTGGATCAGCACAGCACCAGCCATTATGGCCACTTGGGGAGTGAATCATCGGACGGAAGATCTTCCTCTCTATCTCTCCTCTCGGTACATCTGCCTTTCTATCAGAGAGCTATTGGAATGCTAGACCCTCTGCTTCTAATCCAGCTTCTTGCTGATGTGTCTGGGCAGCAGCACATGACGGATCAAATACTCAGGTTCCTCTCCCATCAGAGACCCAGCCCCGTCAGTTGTAGCCACGCGGGGAGTTAATCAGTAGGTGGGAGACCTCTCTCACTCTACTTCAGTATGCTTATTTTTTAGAGATCTATTTATTTTAAAGATTTGGTGAGCGGGGGGGCCTAGTGGCCACAACAGCCAGGGCTGGGCAATATGCTACCCTCCCAGGCACATTAGCAGGAAGCTAGATTGGAAATGGAGCAGCCAGGACAAGAACTGGTGCCCTTATGGGATGTTCATGTCATAGACTGTGGCCCCAATTTTGCCTTTCAAGTAACTAGATTTAATAAAACTGTATAAATACCTAGTTCCATTTTTCATGAATTTTTTGAGGTATATTCATGCACAAATTATACAAATATCAGGACGTTTAATCTGGTTTTTGAAGAAGAATTAGGAGTTTGATGAAGGAGAAAGGCATACGAGATATACGTAACAGTTAATGAAAGAAATAAAAATATGTGTAGTATGTAAAATGGACTTGATGTACTTTTTCCTTTCAAAGGCATTACAGTACCTACGTAAGCTGTGTAACCATCCAGCATTAGTCTTAACATCTCAGCATCCAGAGTTCAAGAGCACCACTGAGAAGCTGGCAGCTCAGAATTCTTCTCTTCATGATATTCAACACGCACCTAAACTCTCAGCTTTGAAACAAGTACGTATGTCTTGTGTGAAGTGCTTGCGCCTCGTGTGTGAGATGAGGTAAATCGGTATATCCCTAAAAGCCAATACATTTATTGTGTTTTTAGTTTAAAAAAAATTAAATATTTAATTTGAAAGGAAGTTACAGACACCCTGGCGGTTATGAAGTAATAAGCTCCTTACAGATTTAATTTGCTGTTGTCTGTGACTAATGAGCCCAGCATCTCTTCAGCTTGTTGAGCATTAGTCTTTGAGAAAATGCTTGCTCAAATCTTTTGATGGTGTTTTGATTGGAATATTGGTGCCCTTTTGTTGTTGGGTTTGAAGAGTTCTTTATGTTTTATGTTTAACCTTGTCAAACTTACAAGAATACTTTATGAAAATACTACATGAATACATGGAATTAAGAGAAGCTTTAGAAATATTTTTTAAAAGGTGGTGTTACAGAGAGAGGGAGAGACAGGAAGGGGGAAGTCTTCCATCCACTGGGTCATTTTTGAAACAGGTACAATGACCAGGGCTCAGCCAGGGCAAAGCTAGGAGCCTGGAACATGGGCGCCACAGGTCAAAGTACCTGGGCTATCTTTCTCTGCCATCCTAAGCATGTTGGCAGAGGCCTGATCAGAACTGAAGCAGCAGGGACTCTGACACTCACAAGATGCCAGAAATCTCGGGTGGCAACTTAGCCCACTGTACCTCAACACTGGTCCTTTGGATAAAGGTTTTTAAATCCATGCATAGCTTTTCCATAAAATTTTTCAAATCCCCTCATATGCATAGATTTCAAAATTTTTATACCATAGTAGTTCCATTTTTTGCAAACTTCTTTAAAGGTCCTTTATACGGTTATTAAATATTTTCTTTAAATCTGTGTGTAGCTGTTCACTTTTTTGGTAATGTACTCCATGGTTTTGAATTGAGGTCAGGAGTTCTTATTGAGGATACCTTTTAGGGGACCAGTTGTCACACTTGCTTTCAGCATTCTTTGAACACTCTGATTACAATGTGTCTGTGGATCCCTGATTATTTTAATTAAATCTGGTTATTCTGCAGAGTGTCAATCTTTTGGTGATGAATTTTTAAAAAATGACTTTGAAAAGCTAAGTGAAAATAATGAATTTTGAGCCCCAAGTGTTAACATTAGTATCAGTTAATTCTGACTTGTGTTAATAATAAGATCGATCATACCATAAAATTTATAAAGACTTTAGTGAATATTTCAGGTTATAATAGTTACTCTGGTATGAATTTCATTGAGTTCAACTAATTAATACAGATTTTAAATTTCATAAGTTAGTCCAGAAGATGTCATTTCAGAGTATCAGTTGTACCTATGCGTCCTTCTGTCACTAACGTAGTGGACGGGAATCCTAAAAACTAAAGTGATGAACTGTCACGCTCTGCGAGCATTGTCTTCCGTTGGTTTACTTTACTTCCCGCATGCCCGCCTCTGCCTCTGCCTCCACCCAGCTGAGGCTGAGCAGGGAGCCTGCAAGCTGCAGCCAGGTCTCTCCAGTTGATGACAGGAACCATCAATCTCCACGAGGGCAGAACTGGGATGCGAATCTGGCACTCTGGTACAGAATATTGATGCTTAACTGGCAAGCCACGTGTCTACCCTGCTGGTGCATCTAGACTGATTTCTACTTAGGTGCTTCCAGGAGTTTGTAGGAAGGTGGACAAATGTAGAGGTGGGCAGCTCCTCCAGCTAGGACACAGCATCTCATCAGAGCCCCTGCTCCAGTGCCTGTCTCTGGCTGCCCGTTCCAGCGATGTGCTGCTGCAGACCCTGGGTCGTCCGGCACCGACCACGCCAGTGCAGGAGTCGGACTGGGTCTGTAGCGCTTGGCTTTGGTCCCGAGCTGGGGCAGCTGAGGCAGCTGATGGTTGAACCAGGAGATAGGAGCACACTCATGTGCTTGTAAGTAAATACTGATCTTACCTTCACGGAAAGTTTGAAATCCAGTTTCTTTTTTTTTATAATATGTATTTTTCACAAACATTTTGATTCACCAAACTTTACTATAGTCTTGTGTACTATACAATGTTCAATTATTTTTCAGAGTTGGTATATTACACACACACACACACACATACACAAGGAATTAGCCAGTTAGTGCTATTTTCAAATAAAAATGCTTTTTTTTTTTTTTAACATTTGAGTAGTGACTGAGCTTTTTTGCTTTCTGCAGTTTTACTAAAAACTTCTCTGTCCTTTCAAGACAAAAAGACATAGATCTTCATGAATGCTTGCAGCATCCTGGGCTGAGCTCGGCCAAAGCCGGAAGTCCAGAATCCAGTGTAGACCTCACAGGGCGGTAGCAGGAAGCCGTACTTACTGCTGTCGGCGTCTGGGAGCAGCCCCGAGTGGATGGTCTCTGTTGCTCTTGTCTCTCTCCCGACCTTTAAAATGAATGAGGAAAAAGGCTTTAGAAACCATTTCATATGAGGAATCCTTGAGTAAAATTGGGGAGAATTTAGCTACTACTGAAATTAGGTCAAGATAAATTGTCTAGAAAGGAATCCTGGCACGTGCAAGGTGAGGATGTAACTACTAGGCTACTTCGCTGGGCTCCAGTATTTTTAATATGACTAGTTATATTTAAGTTGTGAAATGCCAGGTAACGTCCTGAAGTGGTAAACAGTGAGTGCCTGCAGGAAAGCTAGGTCCGGATGCCACAGATCTGTTTTCCAGGTTTCAGACATAACCATTTCTTTTCACAGAAAGAACTACTTGTCAGCAATAAAATTGGTTATCTACTTTATACTAAACATCTATGTAATGGTTTTTTGTTTCCTCTCAAGTTGCTGTTGGACTGTGGTTTGGGAAATGGTGGCACTTCAGAGAGTGGCACAGAATCTGTCGTGGCCCAGCACAGGATACTGATCTTCTGTCAGCTTAAAAGCATGCTTGACATCGTGGAACATGATCTCCTCAAGCCGCACTTGCCTTCTGTCACTTACTTGAGATTAGATGGCAGCATACCCCCTGGGCAGCGGCATTCCATCGTCTCCAGGTAAGTGGCTTGTGTTACTGTAAATCACAGCAGAACGCAGTGTCTGTATAAATACATGACTGCCTCGGTGGGAGCTTGCCTCCCGACTCCTCACTGGCTCCCTCCATGAATGTGGTTGTTGTTGTGCGGCTCAATCCAGATAAATTCCCTTTTAAATATGGAACTGCAGAAATCCAATTGAATAATTTATTTGCACAGTAAAGGGAAAAAATGACTATATTGGGAAAGCACTCAAACAGATTTGTTGTGGGGAAGGGTTAGGAGAGGAAACAGGCCTTACCTAAAAGCCCCTTCTCTGCTGATGAAGCTGGAAGCAGAGTGAGGGCAGCTGCGTCAGGGTGGTCTGCAGCTCCTGGGTGAAATGCCTTCGAGGTTTCTTTCCAAAAATGCAGATTTCCACATTCTGTCTCAAACCTGCTTACTTCCAGATATGGAGTACTTCTAATCAGCATCCCCAGGAAACTGTTAGACAGTTGGATTCAGTTGGAGACAGATCCATGTTCTCAGTGTGTCTGAAATAAGGTATCAGCTGTGATTACAGGGCTGTTGAGATAAATAGCATAATGCATGTAAAATCTAAAGCTAATTGGCTTGCTTACCAGAAATATAATGGTAGCTTGTGATTGCAGTTTTTTCCCCTAGAATCTCCTAAATGGCTCTATGGCTGGCACTAGTCACCTTACCCACTCTTCCATCCCACCTGCCCTGGAAGATCTGGCCTGTTCCCACTTAAGGAGTTTTATCTTAGTTATAATTAGTGTTTAATTATATTTTGCAACTTAGTATTTATGTGATGTTATCAAATACAACTCTCCTGGTCTTATTTATGAAGTTTCTGACTGGCTTTAGAAGGCATTAGACCTACCAAAGATGTCCTGTATATTTAGATAGGGTGTTTGCAATCATGAGGGCATGCAAATGTGACAAGGATCTTTTTAAAGCAGTGCTTTCCTTTGTCCTCTTGTTTTGTTAAACAGCTTATTTTATATGAGTCCTGCCCCAAAAAATAAGACATTTAATTTCTGTTTAAATGTTTAGGTTCAACAATGATCCATCTATAGATGTTCTGTTACTTACAACTCACGTTGGCGGCCTGGGGCTTAACCTGACGGGCGCCGACACAGTAGTGTTTGTGGAGCACGACTGGAACCCTATGCGAGATCTCCAAGCCATGGACCGGGCACATCGCATTGGGCAGGTAAGTGTCACCTGTTTTCAGGTGTTAGGAAAACACCGCTCCTCAAAGGAAGCCTTGGTCCTTTCCCTGACCTTAACAAGGGTTGTGACCTTGGACAAGTCATTCAGTTACTTCTGAGGTACCTGGAGTAAGAAACCTTGGGTCACTGTCCGTAATTTGTGGCTTTGGCAAATGTTTGGAGCTCCTGGAACCAGACAAAATAAAAATAATCTTGGTTAGGTAACACAGTCTTGGCAAATCTCAAAGCTTATCACTTTAAACTACAGTTGCTTGTCTGTTTTTCTCCTTCAGAAACGTGTGGTTAACGTATATCGACTGATAACCAGAGGAACACTGGAAGAGAAGATAATGGGTTTACAGAAATTCAAGATGAACATAGCAAATACTGTTATTAGTCAAGAGAACGCCAGTTTGCAGAGTATGGGGACTGATCAACTTCTGGATTTGTTTACTCTTGATAAGGTAAAGAATTTAACAGTTTGTGAGAATATTAAAGGAAGGAGCAAACAGCATTTATTTTTGTGCTCAGATAGAAACTGTCAGCATACCAAGAGCTGCTCCAGCGTGGTCATGGTCTCCAGTCTTTCCTCAAGGCTGCTCTTCCTTTCCTGCTGCAAGAAGGTGGGACCTTTCTGATCCTGCCCGGGATCTGGCTGTGTCAGGCAGGCCACTCCCCGGGAGCCTCTGTATCTGCTTTACTCCTGGGTTGTGAGAGTAAACTGAACACTGTATGTGCACTTGGGGAGGACACACAGCACACATTCTCAGTAACCGGCAGCCTTTGTTATTGTGGGTGATTGGAATTAATGCATCAGATAACAATATGCAAAGGGATATGTGAGCGGGAAATATTAAACCCAGCTCCATAGTTTGTTAGATTAATTAAGGCTCTGGAAAGGTTAAGTATTAATGAGAAATGGCCTTATAATGAAGTTAAACTAGCTAATAGTAACAGAATTACAGCATCCAACCTACTTCTTACAGGAAGTAATTCTGTAGAGTGAGTGTGAGTGAATGAAAGCATGTTTACAATGTTACATGTAGTTTTTAGTGTTAAATTTTAAGTCCCTAATGGCCAGAAAGGTTCTTTAATCATATCATGAATTTGGGCCAAAACAATGGGGAATACTTAAATTAGAAAAAAGGTGGCTCAGAGAAACATGGTAGCTATCTGAAGACCTCTATGCATAAGAAGGTTCTTTCTAATAGAGTGGCTTTCAGCAAGCAGTGGACTCAAGGAAAGTTCCAAAGAAAATAAAAGTTACTGCCAGAAAGAGCATTATTGGGATAATCCACTAGCGCTAGTGGAGTGTGTGTTATATTACCATGTTATATCACTGGTAACTTACTTTGATCTTTGGTTGGAGGGTGTCCTTACTGGGGATATCTGCTGACTGCTGTCCACAGAGAAGCGCCATGTTTGTCACTCTTCATGTTTCTAAAAGGGCTGATATTTAACTGTATATACACACTGTACCACATACACACATGAGGATACACACACAAATAAGCATATTTCAAAATGGTAATGAAAAATGGAGTTAAACGTTAAGTGTCATGGTGGGCCTCTCGTGCAGCAGTCAGCTGCCCTGTGAGTCGTGTGCTCTGGGCTGCATCCCAGCTTTCTCCTCGCTACCCACAGGAGACACTCTGAGTTCCTGATTTTGGATTGGCCCTCCCCTAGCTGGGCACTGGAGAAGTGAACCAACCAAAGTTGGAAATGTTTGCCTGGTTCAAGACTGTTAGAGAATGAATACTAGGTCTATGAGAAAACCCTTTGAGATCACAAAGTTTGCAATTAGTTGGAATGTTCAACTGTTGGATTATTACAGATGAGTGTGATATTTTAAAGAAACGATATCTGAAGTTAATAATTTCCAATCTTTCCTCAAGGATGGCAAAACAGAAAAAGCTGACACCTCAACCTCCGGAAGAGCAAGCATGAAGTCAGTTCTGGAAAACCTGAGTGATCTGTGGGATCAGGAGCAGTACGAGTCAGAGTACAGCCTGGAGAATTTCCTGCATTCTCTCAAATAACTGTCAGCTACTGTAAATGTAATTGCTGCTAGTTCAGTCATATTTCTGCTGATATTCAGCAATTTTTAAGTTTATGGTGAACTTTTAGCTCAATGTGTACATAGACCTGAATATTCAGCATACCGCTGGCTCGAGTTTCACTGGTGGGAACAAGTCAGTCTCAAATATTTGCACTGTATTAAATTTAAATGTTAATGTGAAGTGATTGAATTTTACATGAATAGCTGCAGAGCAGAGGAACCCAGTGAGGTTCCGCCATGCTACCAGGGCTACCAGGAGGCGTCCCACCAGGAACAGGCCTGCCCTCTGACAGTCACGCTGTACAATAGGATCTCCATGAGTACTTTAGTGTTCATGTACATTTTTTAAAAAATAGAACTTGTTTTTATAATTGATTAAAATCAGGGCTTTTTTTGTATGAAAGCCTTAATGAGCCATACTTTTAAAAATACAAGAATAATGATTAAAATATTGGTCAATCTTAGGCAATGAATTGAACCAGGCCTTTGGTGAAAATCTTTATATATTTAATGCAAATGCATAGTGTTTTTGAAACTTTAACATCATTTTGTCAACTTTTAAAATATAATAACTATTCTAAATACTGGTACTGGTATATTTAAGGCTGCCGTAACATCCTATTAAGGGGGTGTTTTTCTTTTTAAATTTATATAATGGCTAGGATTTAGCCAGATTCAAAGAACTTAAGTACTCAATAAGTTTCAATCATATATATATAATATATATATTTTGTAACTATGAACATATACAGTTTTCCAGAGTAGATTTTACACTGTTTAGAATTCCAAAACCTATGGTGAAGACTGTTTATTGTAGTAATGCATGACTGGAGCATAAAAGGGAGAAGTAATTCCTTTATATACACAAACATACATGAATATATCCATATACACAAATACCCTGCCTGTACCCAAAAAGATACCCAGTATTGGAGCGAAAATCATGTAGTTACACTGGGCAGCAATAATTGGACGTGAAACTGATTTAGTGATGAGGGCTGGTGTATATAGGTATGCATGTATGTACATGTATATATAATTTTCTAAATTTCACATAAATTAAGACATGCCTGTGTGCGTACATATGTATGGGGTATATTTGTATATAAATGTACAGGTAATAAACATACCTAAAGTTTGTGGCTGGCCATACACAAAGGCTTTGGTTTAAAAACCATCAGACCTCAGCTGTACAATATAGGTGTTTTGTTCTAAATCATTAGTTATACCATTCTGCAGCACTTAGACATACCAACACTTGTCACATTTCAGTAGCTTTGACAACCATACTGTAACATTAAACCTAGCATTCCACAAGAAAATAAAATAAGACAAACTATAAAATACATGTGACTGTGTGTTACTTGTAAGAAGTGACTATCAGAACTGAAGCAAGAGATAAAAATAATTTAGTTGCCATATACAGGCCTTAAAGTAGGTGAACGCTTTGTCCAAATCGTAGACGACCCAAAGGCAACCCGTGACTTCTTGCAGCACACTCCCAGCACACTGGAGTTAGGGGTTAAAAGCTGTGTGACACAGCACATCGGAACGGATGCTTTCTGGGACTACGAGGGAAGCAATAAATTATTAGAGATAGGAAGAAGCAGATAAATTCACACTGCAGAATAGTCTGTTTACCTAGTTTGAACAGTTGTATAGAACTAAAGTTGGAAATTTAAGCAGTTAAATTTGAAAAATATTTAGTCTGAAAGTATGTCAGTACAATATTTATAGAAGATAAAATTATTGTACTAGTTACCTGTGAGTGTCCAAAAACATTTTAAAAAACACAAACAAGCATGCCTTCATTCAGTGGTCCCGGTCAGTCCCACTCCTAGTAGTGTATCTTTAATGCAGATACTGGAAGAAAAACTGAACTGAAGGAACGTTAATGTCATGGACAGATGTTTTTTAATGTGGGCTATGGGAAATAAAGCAAGTGTGATAGAATGTTACTATATTTATTGGAAAGTCAGATAGAGAGGAGGAGAGACAGAGAGGAAGATCTTCCATCCGATGATTCACTCCCCAAGTGAGCCCCAAGCAGCTGGTACTGTGTCGATCCAAAGCCGGGAACCAGGAACCTCTTTCGGGTCTCCTATGCGGGCCGTCCTCGACTGCTTTCCCAGGCCACAAGCAGGGAGCTGGATGGAAAGTGGAGCTGCTGGGATCGGAACTGGCGCCCATATGGGATCCCAGTGCATGCAAGGCGAGGACTTTAGCTGCTAGGCCACGCCACCGGGCCCAAGATTACCAGTCTTAAAAGTAGTGTTCTAGTACAAAAATAATTTTCTGGGGTCCTGGGTGTAATTTTTATTTCTTACTATAAATTATTTATTCTACAAACATTCCTCAAAAAATGTCTTCCAACAAGAGCTTATAATGCTGCTAGAAGTGGATGTTACTGACCTTGGGACTAACAGACCTGGTATAGCTGGATTCCTTTTGGTTGGTCTGTGCCAACTTACAAAACTGAACTGGTGGCTTAGTGGGTAAAGACACTGCCTGTGAGAGCAGCGTGTCCTGTGGGCACAGGCATAAGCCCAGGTGCTCCATTTCTGATCCAGTTCCCTGCTGACGAGCACAGGGAAAACAGAAGATGGCCCACGCGCTTGGGCCTCTGTACTCACACAGGGACCCAGATGCAGCTCCTGGCTTTGAGCCCTGGCCATTACAACCGTCTGGGAAATGAACCAGCAGATAGAATCTCTTCCCCTCCCTCTCTTCCTCCCTTTCTATATAGCTCTCTTCAATCTTTCACAAAACAGAAACTAAACAGAGTACAGCGAAGCTAAAGTACCGAGAATTCCAGCACACCTACATTCTTCATCTTAATATAATCTGTGAGCTCTTGTCCTCGGCACGGTGCACGTGCTGAAGTCGGCAACAGTTGGAATCCGAAGTGGAACTGATTGCAGGAATATGTGTTATTAAATGCTAAATAACTCACTGTATGAATCAAAACAAATACTTGGATTATATCAACTATTAGAAAAGTTTGCTCTTTACACAAAGCATAGTCTACCACCATCACTAAGAAGAAAAATGGCCTCCGGATTCAAGAAGAGGTTACTGTGAGTCTCTGAAATTCACTCAAACCAGTTTAATATCGGAGCCGAGATCCCAGTTCCCAGAAAAGTAGAGTCAGATCTACAGAGAGAAGGGGAGACTGGGAAGGATCTTCCTCCCGCTGGGTCACTCCCCAAGTGGCCGCAATGGCTGGAGCAGAGCTGATTTGGAACCAGGAACCTCCTCCAGGTCTCCCACACGGGTGCAGGGTCCCAAGGCTTTGGGCCGTCCTCGACTGCTTTCCCAGGCCACAAGCAGGGAGCTGGATGGGAAGCAGAGTAGCTGGGATATGAACCGGTACCCATATGGGATCCCAGTGCATGCAAGGCAAGGACTCTAGCTACTAGGCTATGCCACTGGGCCCTATAAAACTGTTTTATAGGGACAACGTCAGATAGCGTTTCATAGGGTTACTAACAGGGCAAGAGTAAGCCTTACACACAATACCACCTATAAGAGGAAGGGAGACAGAGATCAGAAACTTAATATTAAAAATATATTAAAAAAGAAAACAGAAACGTCGGAGAAGTTTTGAAGACCAACACTGCCAGTGCCTGGGCGTAACAAGGCAGATTACACGGAGTTCGAGAACATGGGAGCTGCCGTGGTGTTCTCGGGGAGCCGCCCGCAGGTGAATCCATGCAGAACAGGAAACGGTCAGGCCAGTGCTGCGGCACAGTGGGCAAAGCTTCCACCTGCGGCATCAGCATCCCGTATGGGGACCAGATTGTTCCCCAGCTACCTCACTTCACCGTCCAGCCCTGTTTGTGGCCTGGGAAAGCAGTAGGAAGTGGCCAGGGCCCTTGGGCCCCTGCACCCACATGGGAGACCCCGGAGAAGATCCTGGCTTTGGATCAGCTCACCTCTGGCCCTTTATTGGGGGAGTGAAACAGCAGGAGGAAGATCTCTGTCTCTCCTTTGCTATGTAAATCTGGCTCTCCAATAAAAATAAAAACAAATCTTAAAAAAAATAGTGGATGGCAAGCAGATGAGAGTTTTAACAGTTCACGGGAAATCCAGATTAAAAGAGCAGGGGAGAAAACCTAACAAGTGATGTTGGGGAGCTGGTGCTGTGGCGTAGCAGGTAAGGTGCCAGCCACCTGCGGCATCAGCATCCCTTACGGACAGCAGTGTCAGCTCCACGTCTGACCCAGCTCCCTGCTATTGCACCTGGGAAAGCAGCAGCAGATGGCCTAGTGCCTGGGCCCCCGGAGTCGTGAGGGAGACCCCCGAGCAAGCTCCTGGTTTCGGGCCAGCTCAGCTCTGGCTATTGCAGCTATCCGGGGGAATGAACCAACAGATGCAAGATTGATCTTCATTTCTGCTTATTCCCGTGTATCTGTAACTCTGCCTTTCAAATTTTTTAAAATAGTTATTAAAAAGTCATCTGTGGGGCCTGGTGCAGTAGCCTAGCGGCTAAAGTCCTTGCCTTGCATGCACCAGGATCCCATACGAGCACCAGTTTAATCCCGACGGCCCCACTTCCCATCCAGCTCCCTGCTTGTGGCCTGGGAAAGCAGTTGAGGACGGCCAAAGCCTTGGGACCCTGCACCCGTGTGGGAGACCCAGAAGCAGCTCCTGGCTCCTGGCTTCAGATGGGTACAGCTCTGGTTGTTGCAGCAATTTTGGGAGTGAATCATCAGACAGAATATCTTCCTCCTCTCTCTATATCTGACTTTTCAATTAAAAAAAAATAAGTCTTTTTTTTTAAAAAAAAAAGTCATCTGTGACTTGGTGGGCGAGGTTAGCACAAATGCATGCCTTGTGTTGCTCACTGTGGCCTGCAGTGTCTGACTGTGGCTTCTGTCTGCATGGGGGGCGGGGGGACCCGAGCAGCTGATCATCTCGGCTGCCTCCCAGAGAACGCAGGAAACTGTCAGCAGGGTCAAGGACAGGCCTTGCAGCACGGACAGGGCCCTGCCCCGCATCGTGCGTATCCCTGTATCCAGCCTGTCAGGAAGTTGTGACATCTCTAGCTTCAAAACGTATCCCAGGGGCTGGCACTGTGGCATCACGGGCCAGGCCACCCCTACAGAGCCAGCGTCCTTTCCTGATTTAAGGCCCAGCTCTTCCACTTCTGATCCGGCTCCCTGCTAACGTGCGTGACAGCTCTGGGGGATGGCCGAGCGCATGCGCCGCTCCCCACGCAGGAGGCCGGGCTGAAGCGCCTGGCCATGACATGGGCAAGCCCACCCTGTTGGTGAACCAGCAGATGTAAAGTTCTGTAACTCTGCCTCAAATCAATCTTGAACACAAACTGAGCTTTCTCCATGCCCACTATCAGAGCTACAGCTCTAACATTTTACTTCTAGAATATTCCTGTAACTGGCCTTCCTATTTGTTAAACCCTCTAACAGCTCTGTCACATTCAGACCAAATGCAACTCCCTGCTGTGTAGTAAGTCCTAAAGCTGTGATCTCGGCCCTTCTCTGCCATGTCCCAGTAGGCTCATCCCAGCAGGAAGGACTGCCTTTTTAATGTATCTCCACAGGAAACCCAGTGAGTCTTGCTTTTGGTTCTTGTATAGCAGAGTGGATGGTGTCAGAGAGTAGGAGACAGAAGGGGGAGTCCGTGGGTGGGAGGGTAGGATCTCAAATTTCACAGGAAAAGGAAATGCTTCAAATAAGTATGGGCCCGACTGAAATCCCCCCAAAAACAGTGAATTACAAAGTTTTGAATATTTGAAAAAGATACACTAGGACAAACTGTATGGATTTCAAAGTTTTTTTAAAAAAAATAAACATCTTTTAAGCCCATTTTACCCCAACTTTGTTGAAGACCATTTGCATCACTTAAGTCTATTTAGGAGAGGAACAAGGCAGGCCAAACAAAACATTGTAAATGACTGTGGAAGCACAATCATATTCACGGTTATTACTTTTTTGAAAAAAATTATGTATTTACTTTTATTGAAAACTCAGATACACAGAGAGGAAGAGAGACAGAGGAAGATCTCCCATCTGATGGTTCACTCCCCAAGTGAGCACAACAACTAGAGCTGAGCCAATCAGAAGCCAGGAGCCAGGAGCCTCTTCCAGGTCTCCCATGTGGGCACAGGGTCCCAAGGCTTTAGGCCGTCCTAAAACTGCTTTCCCAGGCCACAAGCAGGGAGCTGGATGGGAAGCAGGGCTGCTGGGATTAGAACCGGCACCTATATGGGATCCCAGGGCAGGGCAAGGGGAGGACTTTAGCCACTAGGCCACCATGCAGGGCCCAAGATGATCTTAATGCTATACAAATTATGGCTTAATTTACATATAACAACTCTGGAA